AACATTTAACCTAAATTGAATTGCACTGAATTTAAAATTTGAGGGTGGGGGGGTTACATTACAGTGCAAAACCAGTTAAGAGCGATCTGGAAAATCTCTTTCCATCCAGACTCCACGCAGCATGATGCAAACCTAAAAAAAGGAATATGTGTCTACATCCCATTTATTCATACATTCTGAAGCTTTTTTTTTTTCATTCAGTCCTGCTCGTTTTAGCTTAGCTTGAATTCAGAATTTAGATGTAACACATTACAGAAATGATGTTTACGTTGAAATGATATGAAGTTTCTGCTCTGCATGCTCTGCCATGGGTTGTTTTAGGACTTCAGGCCAGTATGACCACGTCTCTAATCATACCCCCACCCTTCCCAAATTGGATTGTGTTCATTTTTTAGTTAATTGTCATTTGTTGTCTCTGTATAGGTCTAAAAAAATCTGCCAACAGCCCAACTACTGACCAATCAGGGGGAATAAAGTCATATGTGTGTGTTTGAGTGTTTGATTATTTCATCTGTAGCATCAGGAACCAGAAACACAGCAGTGGATGAGTTGGACTCACTCAGCATAGTCCCGCTTGCAGTAAAGTTTGCGGTCCCGCAGAAAGCAGGAGTTGTTGAGCGCGTCCCCGCACGCCGCGCACCGCACGCAGCCCTCGTGCCAGAGGCAGTCAGTGACTCTGAGCAGGAACCTGTCCGTGATGATGCGCTGACATCCCGCACACACCGCCCTCTGATCCATACCTGCACTGACGGGAGATCGTTCCATTAACACACTTTTTACAACCAGGAAATAGAGATTCAGTATTTTTTATCACAGTTGTGGAAAAGTTTGGAGAAAGCCTCATCCAAATGCGAATTTGCATCTTTTAATTTGCATCCCTTTACTGACTAAGATTTTTGGAAAACCAAAGTTAATTTAAAATAAAATCAAATCAAATTTCTTAGACTATTTACTAAGAGTTATAATTTTTAGTTTGCAATTGTTTTGACAGTGGTTTAAACTGACCAATAGATTAGGTTAGGAAAAAAAAGTGCTGAAAATGAAACATCTCAATGAAATGTATCGTTTAAAAAAGTATATTTAAATCTAAGTTCTCCAATAAAGCTGAATAATATAATTATATAATCAAATCCTAATGGTTTTAAGAGCGATTTTAAATCCACCACCACATGCCATCTGAAGAAATTGTGATTCTGACCAAAGTTAACTGAAATTAGATATCTTCCAAGTAAAAGCATGAAACTCTTACCTGTAAACTGTGATCGTGAAGTGAAGCCAGAGAAGTTTTTTTCAGGTTTTTAACTCGCACTTATTTTATCAGAGCATCTCCTGAATGCTCTCAGAGTCCTGCTGCAACTTTCTGCTCCGACTCCCAGAGAACAGCTAGCATCAAAGTTTCTCCTTTGATGTTCACTTCGACCTCGCTGAGTCCACAATTATCGACTGTTTAGATTATCTATTAATTATCCTATTAGGAGTGAACGGGAAGGAGGGATGGAGAGAGAGAGAGACTTCCTCCATGTGCAGGTGCAGGTTACCTCTCTCTCTCCGTCCCACTGTCTCTCTCTCGCTCACTCTCTCTCCTCCCATGCTCACTGAATGGTAGAGTTACAGGGACGCACATGGAAGGAGTTTCTCTCCCCCTCTATCTCTCGCTTTCTCTCTCCATTAAAACTAATGATAATGTTCAGGAAGTGAAGTGCAGGTTAAAAGGTCAAACTTTCATACTTTTAAGGTCACTTTATGGGAAACACTTTTCTCAGAAAGAAAGACATAGATAGATAGATAGATAGATAGATAGATAGATAGATAGATAGATAGATAGATAGATAGATAGATAGATAGATAGTACATTAAGAAAGCAGTTCCATCTGTCTATACAGAAATGCTTTATAAGTCAAACTTAAATTTTGACCCTGGACAATATTGCTGGTTATCAAACAAAAATAAGTCAGTTATGCAACGTAATGTCCTATTCATTCATATAGTTGTATCTATTTTATTGTTCTACTTTGTTAATGTTAATTTTTTATTCTCATTTTATCTGTCTAGTATTGTTTCTTCATCGTAAAGCACTTTGTAACATCGCAAAGAAAAGTTGAATGTATTTAAAGTATCTGTGCTATTTCAGTTTTTTGCTTAAAAAAAACGTGACATTATTATCATTATTATTGACACTCCACTATATTCCTATTTACATATTCCTTTCTACTTGGCATTCCTACTCTGGGTTTTCTCGCTTTATGTCAACACTAATGCTGTTACTGTTGTGATCAAGACAGGCTCCTACAAATCGTTGTGATGTAATATTGTATTTTTTTATCTTGACATTTCACCTCTCAACCAATCTTCACAATATCACAGATTTTTATAATGTGGAGGAGCTCCTGATGCTGTGGCCCAAAGGCAGTCTGAGAGGCTGTGTGTATGTGTGTGTGTGTGTGTGTGTGTGTGTGTGAGAGAGAGAGTTCATGCTTACACTCCGTGGGGGCCATCTAGTGGCTAGAGCATGATCATACAAGGAGGACAGAAGATCATTTGCTTGATCCAGATGACTTATTTTCTGTAGTACAGGATGTTTTTCCACTCTTGTATAAGCAGACAGATCAGGTTTGAGTGTTTAGGACTGAAGAAATGAGCTGTTGAGACTAATTACTTAGTTGATTTGGACAGATTATCATCTTGGTAATGGTATGCTATTCTTACGTCCTGTCACAAGATGAGCTAATTTCAACGCCTACAATGTTTATCCTCATCTGTTCCAAGATTTCAATGGGTTCTTCCTTGGATCATATCCCACCCCTTCACAAAATGTTATGGAAATCTGTCAGGTGCAAAATCCTGCTAAAAGTCAGACAAACAAACAAGCAATGAGAACATAAGCACCTTGGTGGAGTAAATAATTCAAAACACGACAGTACAAACACAGATTTTAGATACGTTTTTAAATAACTTTATTCTGTAAGAATTCTCAAAGTGAGGGATGGTTTCTGTTCTTATTCAATTCCTCTTTGAATAAAATATTATCTTTTCAAAATTGCATTGGCTTTCTTTTAAACAGACACCTGGAATTATCTATTTACAAAAGAAATCTGTTAACAATTGTATTAGAATTCATTTTGACAGTATACTCAATCTGCCTCACTCTCCCAAACATCAAAATACTTTTTTAAAAATTTTAATTACAATGTTTTCGCTTGGTACAAAATATGCTGTTTCACAATTTTAAATCAAGTCTTTTAATCTTAATTTTATCTTCATATCGCTGACAATGTGGGAGTATGTACAAAGGGAAGGGGGGGACTGGTGTCATGTGATCTGATGTGGCGCCTCCAGCATCTCCATCAGGAAGGTGTCGATGGGCGTGTCCCCGATCAGCTTGAAGAAGAACAGATGCTCCAGGCACTTGAGGCCGATGGAGCGGAGGGCGGGCAGGCGGAGCAGCAGTTTGGCAAACCTGGGGAAGAGGAAAATAAAACTAAGACCGAGCCTTCATATAAGCCATCATCAGTAAAATATATTTTTTTAAATAATTTCCTATCATGTAGTGCATTTCCTACCTGCCAGGCTGATCTGGGTATTTCTGTTTTGTATATGACTCCAACGAAGCATAGACTTTTTCCCTCAGCCCTTCGACCTCTGGTGGGTTCGAAAGACCTTTTGCATCTGAAATAAAACACAAATTCAAAGTCATATACAACAACATAGAAATCACTTCTGTTCCATCAAACATCCACCTGCATTTAAACCTATTTGAAGAAAATAAGACCGAAACTTTCCTGATCGCGGATAAATCCACAGATTTACAGTGAAGACATGGAAAAAAACATATCTGCTTAATAAGTAAGCAGTGGGATAATATGTCACATTTAACAAACGACTCGGATAATTCAAAATCCAGAGATAACAGACCTGGGTTGAAGAGGACGATGGCTCGAAGGCAGCCGAGCTCTGTCTTATCCATCTGCATATCTTTCATTTTAGATACCAGCTCTGTCAGTACTCTGCAGGGGAACAAGAGAATTACATCAGAGAGTTAACCCTCATTTTTCTAAAATAGACTAAATCAGATGCTAACCAGTAATACAGATGTGCTTTGCCTCCAATTCTTAGCAAACATTTTTTAGAAATGACCTCCAGAAAATTGAGTCTGGACAGTATGTAAAGAATATGAAGAACACAGCAGGAGGTTATTCAGTCAGATCTGTTCACAACAGGAAAATGTCCCGAACATTGAGTGAGGGATGGCACCTGGGTAGAGCATGAAGGAGCCAGGACATGACGTATTAATTCATGTTCTTTGTTTACAGAACAAATGTTCAGTTACACTTCCTCTTGCAGTATTAGAGATGCATTACAAGTCAGGTTAAGTCATCATTGCTGACGTTTAGCTTCTCAGTTGTTGCCTTATCTGTTACGTACCTATCAAAGATGGAGCCCACTCCTGCACTGTGGGCGCTGCTCCTGTGGACATGGAGGCCAGTCGCCAACAGGATACCGTCTTTTACCGTGACTGAGCGATGTGAGAATGAGGCGATGAGGAGCTCGTTCCAGCCTGGACACAAAAAGAAAACAACTGTGACTTCTCCCTCTTCCTGTCGATCCCTACCTCACAGGCCAAGTTTCTCTAAATGATCCATGACAATATTTTATTACCTCTGCCAAAGAGATTTCCATCTGCGTTTGTACGTTTGCTATGTAGCTGGATTGTGCAAAAAATACAGGGTGGATTTCCACGAAACTTGGTGGAAGGATGTGTTATCGGTCAGGGAAGAACCCCATTAAATTTTGATGTGGATCTGGGGGTGGATCTAGGCTTTTTTTTTCTCTTTCATTGAATTGCGATACGCATTCTGTTTGACATTTTCACCGATTTCCTCAGGAATAATTCATGGATCTTGATGAAAATAATCAGTAAAGTGGACTGATCTTGTTGTTTGCAATTTCATGCAGCATGCATGAAATTTTAAGGGGACTCCTGGGCCATGGCAGAGGTAGGCACTTTACTGAGTGGGATTCTAGTTCTGCTGGAATGGATCGGCTGTCCCATGTTTCTCTTAAAGCTAAAAGAATCCCCATTGACTTTGCTGTGTGAATTTATCATGGTGTGTGGAATTTGTCACCAGCAGGGGTCAGCGTTGTTAAAGCTGCAAACCGCACTGCTGGGACTGAGAAAATAGTCCAGTTATATTTGGTTTCATCGCTCCATTAAACTACATGGCAAAGATGTGTTAAGTGACTGTAGAAGACTAATAATAGAGGGTCTGCCTGAGGATGAACAACTGCTAGGATGTAGCAAGGCGGCTCAGGGGTTAGAGCGACCGTCTTCTAACCAGAAGGTCAATGGTTTGCTCCCAGTCTGAGTCTCCTCGTCCATGTGTGCTGAACCTCTCCTTATAGAAATAGTGCTGCACATAGATGCAGTGTGTGAATGTATAACTGAACTATAAAGTGCTTCAAGTTTAAAGACTAGAAAAGCTCAATATAAATGAACACCATTTACCATTTAATGCAAGGAAATGAACCTTTATGTATCTGTGCTTCCACATTTCAGTTATTTACACTAATGCTTGCTGATGGCGAGGGTTTGCGTCGTGAGCCCACCTGCTCGTAGTAGGATGACCTGGTCGTCGAGCGGGAGTTCGGAGAAGTGCGGGATCCTTTTGGCCCACTCCACCAGGGTGAAGAGCTGCTTGTCTGCTGCTTGGCAGATATTGGTGACGGGGTCGTTCGTCTGGAGGGGGAACGAGTAGATAAAACGTCAAATCGACAGCGGCGCTGGTGAGCACTTCCGCTGACATCTGAACATGTCTATCAGCAGCTAGAGCAGGTGCAGCTGAGACTATTTTATACTGCCTTGTAAACCAACAAATTCCACTCAAGACCTGTGAAAGATTCAGAAGTCAGTTTCAAAAATGATCACAGAGTTGAGTTACCACTTGCACAGGGTCACCGGAGCTCAGCAACATGAGCTGCGAGGGGGTGAGATTTATAGCAGGGCTGTTGTGTTGGATTACATGAGACTGTGCAGGTGTACTCAATAAAATCAATATAAATCAGTGTGTATGTCGCTGTTAATTTATCACCCTATCAGAATAAAGGTTAAATAAAAGGTCAAATTATTTCTAAATGCAAAACAACAAAGACAGGCTTCAGGGCAGTTGTCAGCAGCACTGACAGTAGCTTGTCTGAGTCATGGAGTTGCAGTTAAGCCTGTAACTCCAACTTGATTACCAATCAGTACAACATTTAAACACGGATCAGGCTGCATCAGTCATCACACAGGATATCAGGACCTACATCATTAAGAAGCACATTCTTTACTTAAAGGTCCAGTGTGTAAGATTTAGGTGAAAGGGAACTATTGGCAGAAATTTAATGTAGAATAATCCTCATGATTTTTTCACTAGTTCATTTCATCTAAATTATATAAATTGTAGTTTTCTTTACCCCAGAAAAGGCCCTTTATATTTACATACTTTATATTTACATCGAGGGGACCCTCTCTACGGAGGCCGCCATGTTTTTTACATTAGTCCAGACTGAACAAACTAAACACCTTTTGAGTTTTTATGACAACTGAAGCTACCACAGGTTCTTTTTCATGTTTGGAAGGAGAGGGTGAGGTGAGGGGTGTTCAGCTGCAACATACAACTTCAACACTAGATATCACAAAATCCTACACACTGCACCTTTAAGCAAGCACTTGTTCCCTCATTTGTTAGTTTCCACCTCAACCTTAAATAAATAAATCCAGTGTTTAATAGTTGTAATCTGTAACCAGATTCAGCACGTGAATATGCAGGATATGTAGGCTGGGGACAAGATTTGGTTTCTGGTTTGAGCAATCACGTTTGGTCTCCACAGGTCAACAGTCGGTTGTCACTGACTGAATGCATCAGCTATTTAGCTGTAGCTATTTGCTACAGATTGCTTTTATCTTTTTGTCTACACTGGAAGCCCTAAAACATTGGTCGTTGCCCCCGGGGGCTGCTTCGTTGTCAGGCTTTAGCTGATGGGCACAGAGATTGGGACAAAGCTCTGTGTCTGTGATCCTTACCGAGTGTCCAGGACTGCCTTCGCTGTACGTCTCTGTTTTGGGCTCCACCGCCAGCTCAGCATCCAGGATCTTGTCAACAGGCATCTCCTCGTTGAAACTGCTGGTAGATTCCACCTCGATCTCCCCCCGCTCCTTCCCACGCTGCCTCTCTTCCTGCACCGCTGCACACACACACACACACACACAAACACACAAAATAAGCGCATATATTTAAGGTCAAACCCCCACGCTTAATCTTCTGGTGCAGATATTCATGGCAACATAACATCACTGATACAACAGTAGCTCTGCATCTCTCAGACCTTAATGTAACCTCTGAAGCAGATTCCCTACATTACAAAATATCTCCCACATCTGCTTACTCATGGAACATTTACCGGAAAATCAAATATTCAAATCCAGGACTAGCATTGTCACGGTTGCAACATGTATGTCCATGTAATGACAGAATACTGAAAGTGGTTGTGCATCAAGTTAAGTTTCAGACATGAACATTTTTTACTTTTCATGTATGAAGAACACAGCAAGAGAGCGTCTATTCTCTTTGTTTTTTTTGTTGCATCTGCTGCATGTTAGAAATGTCATCTACATGCCCCCACTTGCTTGCTGTGAATTTAGCTAGGGGGCTGGCAAGACAAGTCCCGAAAAAAGGTCTGGATTAACTGACTCTGACGTTTGCGTTCTCACATTCAGCCCCTCTGGAATATTCAGTACATGTCTGAAAGCTGCTTTATTGACATTTCCCTGCATTTCAGTCTTAAATCATTTGTATCTTGGAAAACTTTGGGATGCAATATATTCCTACAGGGTTGAATACTTCATGTTCGTAATGAAAACGCCTGTTAGGTTGTGAAAAAATGAAACTCCTCAGGCCCACCTTCTCTCTTCATGCCCATGGCCAGGCACTTCTGGTAGCGACAGTATTGGCAGCGGTTCCGCTGGCGCTTGTCAATCAGGCACTCCTTGCTGTCTCGACACGTGTAGGTGAGGTCTTTTCGGACTGTCCTCTTGAAGAAGCCTTTGCATCCCTCACAGCTGTACACACCGTAGTGCTTCCCTGTGGACACAAGGACCACCACATCAAGTTCCTCTCTTTGAGGCAGAACCTCACTGTACTTCAGGTTCACAGTGTGGAATATAAACACATGTTTGGAATAAGGATAGAAGGCCAATAACCACAAGAGGAGTTTGCCAGTTACAACCTAATGAAAACCCATTAACACAAAAACAATACAGCAATGAAGAATGTAGCAAGATGAACAATAAAACAGGTAAATGCCTGACAAGTCACCTTGAAATGAAGTTATCTTCCCTCCAATCACCTGTGATAATCTTTATGTGGGAGTGAAAGTGCAAAATGTCCTCCATCCTCACCCTTACCTGAGGAGCGGTCCCCGCAAATGGCACAGATGTGCTTGGACATTCCCCCAGGGCTGGTACACTGGTAGTTGATGTTCCCCAGGTTCTGCAGCCCCGGCGGAGGCTTGATGTCCTCCGAGCTGCTGACGCTGTTCATAGAGTTCATCTGAGGATGACAGGAAGAGAGAACAGAGACAGAGGTTGAAGCTGATGTTGCCAGAACTGAGCGAACAGAGCAGAGCAGAGGAGGAAGCAGAAGGGAAGTAAGAAGTGAAAAGTGCTAGGCAGGTCTCATGATACTGCCTCTTCCTCTATTTTCTCAGTTTGTCATCTGTGTGCCCATATTATCATTTTCTACCCCCCGCCCACCCACACACGTTTATTGTGAAAGTGTCGCAGGGTACGATCACATGCTCGCGCAGTGGGAGGAGCTGAGTCTGAAGCTTGTCAGACAGGTTTTTCAATGTTTGTTGACAGGGAGAGGCGTTGGGAGTCACGTGTGCAGAGAGTGCAGTTCTCAGACTTGAACAGCAGAGGGGGCTCCTGCGTTGGGTCTTCAAACTTGGGCGAATGGAGGAGATTTGAATTGTTAAAGATGTTGATGCCTCTAAACTCTGCACGATTCATTGGATCCGGCCTAGTTCTAAATTTGGAGTTAGGAGCTTCTTATAGCGGCGTCCCATCCGGTTTTAGAAAATTCACACCTAACACATTGGGACTGATGTGTCTGAGGTCCCATGTGAAACTAAAGGAGAGTCATGAGACAAAAAGGTGTGAACAACCCACTGAAGTTAGAATAAGTGAGACCCTCCAGCACTCAGTGGAGATAACAGAGCCTCTTCAGTGAGATTCCAATCATGTTCAATGCCGGGCAACTCTTCTGACTTCCTTCGACTTTTTCATATCTCTGTCTCTCTTATCTCCTGCACGCCCTTTGACCCTCTCCTGCCGACCGAGGGCCAGGTGGGACCATGGGACGCATGCATGATGTGCACATTTATGTTTGTTTATTTGTTTGTGTGCGCACGTCTGCACTCCCACTGGAAGCAACAAGGCTGACCTACATATCCCCTCCCGTCCTATATATTTGATGCTGCTTGACATATAGGACAGTCACCTCAGGCTCTTCCTATCATTTATTTACGAAGTGCACTTTCTTATGAATATCCTCTAATGGCTGAGCTGAACTAAACTTAGGACTCTGCGGCTGTGACCTCACAGCAGAAGGAGATTATACAAGAGATTCTTTTTTCTTTCTTTCATTCTTTCAGTTTTTCCCACAGAACACTAGTATTCTACACCGCCACTGGCCTCTTCATCTATAGATGCCCCAAAGGCTGGCAGTCACACTTAAATGAGCATTCAGCCCCCTGCGTATTTGCTCATCGGTGAATCAGTACCGCACAGTTATTCCTCTTCAGTGCACAGTTTTCACAAATAATTAATTTTACACATGTACAGCTTGAGAAAAATAAGCCTTGTGGTGAGCTCAAACAGTGGTTCAGACGCACATTCAGTTTCAGACAGACAGCATATTGGTGCCAAAACGGCTACAAGCACTGTATATTATTGATGCGTCATACATTCTTTATACAGCACATGGTATGAAGACCACACTGCATCATACATGTTAGGTTTACCCCCTTTCATGGGCCACACGTGCTCTTCAATAGTCTTGAACTAAGAAATCTAATCTAATCAAAGAGAAACTGGTACAATTGGTAATAATGTTGTTTTGAGATTCACTGTGCAAACATATCAAACCATTCACCAATATTTGATCTGTTGAGAATTTAATCTAAAACTTGTCTGATAATCGAAATCGTATATTTTTGAATATTTGCTGGTTTTCTGAGTCTTCCATCAAAACTAAAGTAAATATCAGATATAATGACATAAAGAATGTGTCGGTTATGGCTTTGAAAAATTAAAATGAATAAAAAATATTTTAACATTTCACAGACCAAATTATTTATCAATTAACTGAGACTGATTAATGAATGTTAAAATTAATCCTTGGATGCAAATTCAAAATAATACTAAAAACATACACAGACAGGTAGAAGGAGCTAAATGAGGATTAAGAATAGATAAAAAAAATATATAAAGAATTAATAATGAAGTTAATGACAAAGTGTGCATCTCAAAGCGCAGGATTAGAAGCTGCCATCACTTCCAAATTGTGATGGCAGTAATGCATCATACAAATAAATGCTATAAAAATTACTTAATGTTAAATGTGAGCTTTAAATGGTTTTGTTGCAACTAAAAGCAGCAGTGAAACAGTCAAAGACAATTGAAAAATACTTAATAACTACGAGTTAAACACTTTTGATTGTATATGTAAATATTCCTGTAATTTACAACATCAGAAAATAACAAGATGATAGCAGAACACTTGAATATCACCATCATGTATGCAGAAGCGTAATATTCAATATGCTTGTGTTCATTGCTGTCACCCCATGACAGGCTGGTGAACTCCAGTTAACCCCTGAAAACAGTAGCACACGTTACATTACACAATGACCTGATGGCGACTTGGTCACTGGTCGTCTGTGGCAGTCAAAAGACGGTGACACCGAACAATCATATTAACTTTGACTGTCCCTGAAGGCACAGATCCATATTGTGATTAAAGCAACGTATATGCTGTCCACTGTGCCCTGCAGCACTGGCCTCAATCCAGCCTCTGAAGCACAATATGTGTGTGTGTGTGTGTGTGTGTGTGTGTGTGTGTGTGTGAGAATGTGCAGCACCATCATCAAAGCATTAAGCCTTGTGGGGTTTGTAGTTCATTCTATGGACCACTTTGCAAGTATGTCCATTAGCTCTCTGCTTCTCTTGCAGTCCGATATGCCAAAGAGTAAAAAAGAGCAGTCCTGTGCTATTTATATATACATCTGCTATAATAACCAGTATGATGCTGTAAAAGGAGATTCAAATGAGTATATAAAGGAAAAATAAGCAAGAGAAAATGTCAGGGAAGGAGAATAAAACTAGTAAATATTGAGGCTGTCTCTATGTTTCCATAGTTGGAGTGTATCTCTTAAGTTCCCTTGGCCTATAAGCAGCAACACAGAACCCACCAATGACCTTTAGGGAGAGTCGGTAAAGGTCAGTAAGGGGAGGGAACAGTGAGAAAACCCAAGGTATGCCAGCCAAACACATTGGATATGGCTAACCTTCAATGTCCCAACCACTGCCGAGATTCCAAGAGCAGAACTCACATGATCGACAGCAGAACATGATAGTTTCACACAAACAGACTTTGCAAAAATTAATTTGAAGGAAGATAAACCTGTTGATGAGAGCGCAGCGATGAATAGAAGACCCTGTCTGATTTTAAACATGAGGCTGATTTACAATATTACATCTGGAACGCATAAAACATCATAAACTGATTATAAACCATCTTAATTGTAAAATATGTTATATTTAAAAAAACCTTACAAGAAGTCTTCTAAGACAACGTGTGATCGCCATCAAAACACCTGCACATTTTCCTACCTGTGGACTGCCGAGAGGACCAAAGTTCATGTTGGGCGTGGACGGCAGTGATATAGAGGGAGAGCCCAGGGACGATGTGATGACGGGGTAGGGTGAGGCCAGGCCATTCATCGGCGAGCCCAGGTTGGACATGGGGGACTGCAGGGGCCTGGAGGTGCTGATGACTGACGGGTGCCCCACCATGCCACCCATAGGGGGCGGGTGGGTGTGGGCCGCACTCATTGGCCCCGTAGAGTCTGGGGGAAGAAGGAAGGTGTGTTAGAGAACAGAGTGAAGACGATTTATATTGAACAGTGTCAGATACGCCAGTGTAAACAAAGACAATCAAATACAACAAATCCTGTATTTACAGTGTAAATGTTTTCAGTCATAAATATAAAATATTAATTAGTACAAAGAAATACTGTATGTTGTAACACGATATTACAACTTGTCAAACAGGCATCATAGAACATAGTATATCACCTTAAAGTCAACATCGTAAAAGGGACATTTATTACTAATTAATTTCAGTTTTAAAACACGTGTAATCTCTGCTACGTATACACCTGACGTCCATGTGACTGTGGAGTTTTCATTGCCCTAAACAGAGACTTTTGGAAATGCGCCTGGAGCTGTTTTAAATTTAAAACAACAGGGTTGTGTTTTCAGTGTGGCCACGCAGAAACTGAGACTACAACGATGCAGACAACCACCTCTGCTTCCTCAGCTAGTCAGCCACAATATATCCTTGACTCTTTTCCTGAAGCCTCTGGTAATCATTTTCGACTACCTGTATCAAACACAGTATGGTTAACAAATTACAAGCGTTGCAAACCCTAAATATCAGTAACACTTCCACCTACTCATTTGTCAAAGCAAAGAAATCCCTGCTCTTACATTTTCACTATTGTTGTTCTTCATTCTTATTATTTTTCTGCTACTTCAAGGTCCAGTGTGTAAGATTTAGATGAAAGGGAACTATTGTCAGAAAAAAAATGTAATCCTCATGATGTTTTCATCTAAATTGTATGAATTGTAGTTTCCTTTACCCCAGAAAAGGCCCTTTATATTCAAATACTTTATATTTACATCGAGGGGGTCCTCTCTATGGAGGCTGCCATGTTTTTTACATTAGTCCAGACTGGAAAGACTTAACACCTTTTGAGTTTTTATGACAATTAAAGGCTACCACAGGTTCTTTTTCATGTTTGGAAGGAGAGGGTGAGGTGCGGGGTGTTTAGCTGCAACATGCAACTTCAACACTAGATATCACACACTGTACCTTTAACAACAAACTGCAGACAGGACAACTTGCTTCTTGTTTAGAAGCACACACATGCCAAGTGTACAGGAATGGTCATGCTTCCGTATGGACCATTACTGTATATAAAGATGGATGACATGACAAATCCCCAAAAGTGAGGCCAAACATTTTTTGCCTCCTCCATGTTAACAGTTGAAAGAACTTTTTCTAAAAGATGACTTATTTCATTTTAGGTTGCTCTTGTCACACTGACATTGTTCAAATGCACATTTTTCTGGGAAGTTTGCTTTTTGATTTGATGCTACAAAAACAGGGGTGAAACGTCATGATTGACAACTGAGACTGACTTGCGATTAGTTGAGCACATGTATCAGCAGGACGTTGCAAATCCACTCCACTAAAACTACTGCTCTAAATGACATCACCATGCAGCGCAAGATGGCGACACCCATATCCGATATCTTGGCTTCATGTTTTTACAGCGGGAGGAAGCCATCCTTTTTCATTTGCAGTCTGTGTTATGGATGGAGATCATTTGTATAAGTGAGCTAAAATGCTCATCTTAAAGCAGCACTGAGCAGTGTGATGGGAATGCACTATATCATCCCCACTGTGATTATGAGCATAAAACATACAGTATGGGAAAATGACGTAGTCGTGGAAAAACTGGTTTTCATCTTATAATCAAAAGCTTAAAAATACATTGCTGACCAACAGTGCAATATGCATGGATGCAGTCAGAATGTTGTGTCCACCTGATTCTGGTCACAGGGTGCTGATTTTGCTTTGCATCCCTTGATGCAAACTGACAGGCTGGCATTTACATAGATGACCTACTTAGAAAAGCTGTCAGTCAACTGGGTAACAGGGTGTGGTGTGTAATTCCATGCATGTGGTGTAGCTGTGAGGACATTCATTCACCATCAAGCCATATTTCACTAAATACTGACAAACGCATACAGCTTGTACATGTACAGACCAACATGTAGAGTACACATAATTAATACGTACAAATACCACAGGTTGTCACATGCTCTGGTAGAGACAGATGCAATGAACAGTGTGTCTCTGGGCTAATTTCAGTGACTCATAGGAATGAATAAAAAACATTTCTCTATGGAAATGTTACTGATGAAGAGTGACATACAGTTAATGTTTGTTTTTTTCAGAATGGCCAGAAAATGCAGAAGCTCTTCCTTGTGTGTCAGTGAACCATCCCCCACCCACCTTTACACAGACACACACATGCACGCAGTGTGATACTGGGCCACTGTTCTTAGTTAAATGTCACATTCCTGTGTGCGTGTGTGGGCGATGGTATGATACCCTGACACACAATGAAAGGCACCTGTTTGAGTTTATAAAAAAATGTAAATGAAGGTAATTGTTCTTCTTTTCCTCCCTCAAAGCTCAACAGTGTGTCAGAGATCACAGTTTTTCATGTATGTTGCCGACCAGCCAATAGGCTACATGACAGAAGGAACAACTACGGTATAAGTGTAAAAAAAAATTTTTTTAAAAACACAAAAATGGGCGAAGGCTCTGACCAGCCAAGACAAAACGAGGAGCTCGAACCTAAAAGAGAGTTTCATGTGTCACATGAATGTAGTGTAAGAAAACCATGATTTGCACATAATGCTGCCGCCCAGTCTCCACAACACACTCAAACACGCCACAGTCATGTCAAACAGTACTGAGTCTACGGATGAGAAGAACCACAAGCACAGCTGAGCGCTCAAAACAAACCACAAACTCGTAATGTTGCAGGAGGCTTTCGCCTGCAGCACACCATATGGCAAAGAAACACGAAGATGGGAAGATAACATCTGCCAGAACAACATCACCTGTACAGACATGGCCCCAAATGACATAGTGAAAAAAAGGTATGATGAACGAGATGATATGTGTTTTATCATCTAATTACCTCAACGAGGATATGAGATTAGGTCATTAAACATTTCGTAAAACATAATCTGGATTAATTTATAACATATATTTCTTAAGATAATTTTGTGATGATGACAAAGTCTTAACAGAAAGATTTTAAGTTCATCATCCTCTAAGCTGTCAGCTTTGCTGTAAAAAAGTTTTTTGGGGGTTTTTTTGCCCTAGTTCTGAGAAATAACTTAAAGTTTCTGCCTGTCAGTTTCCCTGAAGTGACTAACATTTGCAGCCTTTTTATAAGTGAGACAGGACCACTCTAAATACTTTGGAATACTTCTGAAAAGTTGCTCTGACACTTAACCTCTGGCAGTGATTAAGTTTAACATTAGGTTCTGTCCCACTGGAAAAGAGAAGCGTAACCTCTATTTAAAAAGAAATGGAAAGAATGAGTAATGCAACACAGTTGCTTTCAGATGTCAAGGATTTGGGGAAACAGTCAGAGGATCGTCACATTGTCTGCCTGCCTGTTGCACTTTGTGCATTGAGACACTCTACAACACACAGCTGGCCATTCAGTCCCTCTCTGGATGCCAAGGAACAGATGTTGTGCAACTTCCTGTTTAGCAGCTAGACTATAGCCTCCACCCCCTTTCTCGCTCGCCCACTTTCTCCAGCCCTCCATGAGTGATCCCTGGCAAGCAAATATGTATCAGGGCCTCCCTCTCTCTCCCACAAAGCTGACTTTATACAGGAGATTTATTGCACTGCTATATGCACGACAGTCAACACTTTACACAGTATTCTATGGTCTGTGATTCTCCAAAATGCACAGCTCAGATTTAAGTTCTGCAGTGGCAGGCGTGTATCCCAACTTTTTAGAGCACGTTTTTCTCTAATCAACAAGCTTACATAATGGATGAGCACAGGATGGGTACAGCGTGTACTGTCTCAGTTTGTGCACTGACCCCTCTCTTTATGCGCAAGGCAAATTCCCTCCGTGGCTCATAACTTCTATTCTATTCTGGAAGTGCTGAGTAGAAGATCCAGCTCCAGCTAACAACGTACCAACGGGTTCTCACAATCATCCTGGACCAACATGTATCCAGATGTAAAATATGGCAGGATGAAGGTTGTGATATGGACTCACTGAAGACACACACACAGCTACATTTTTGCATCTTAAACCAACCTCGCTGTCAAAATCGGTCAAATAAGTCATTGCTACATTTTGAGATGATATGATGAAATAATATGTAACAGTTATTAATAGGTAATATATTATTAATATAATTTGATTAAAAAACAATTAGACCTATGTTATATATTTTGTTGGTTTGTGTACTTATTCAACATCATTGAAAATGGTTCAAGCTCAGAGAAATCCACAATTTTATTCAAGGTAACGCATTTTAATTGCGTCATATCAAGTTAACTTGTGGCTTTACCAGTCTCTGCTGTTACTTCTGGGACAAACGACATATGAAAAGGTAAAAACACTCCTAGCCAGTTAGCCAGTTGGCTGTTTTTTCTATACACTGTTTGTACTGGTTACTCATAACGGCTTATTTATTGTTGTTTGCTGAGCAACCTGAATAAAATGTTCATAAATGATTTGCGCCTGATTTGCTGGTGGCGAAGACAACAACTCCCATGATCCCACGTTGCTTCAGGACTTCATCAAACTCGGCCTTTTGTTATTGTTTTGATTGAGAAACCCCTAGTGGCCAGAGTTACATATCGTACATTTAATGGCACATTTTTAAAGTGACTTGTTAAGTTCTCAAAGCAACATTCTCTGATCCCAGCTATTCTAATGTGACTAAATAATGAGCAATAAAATATATTTGGGTTTTAGTCTGTTCCTCACACAACTCAAGCAACTTCAAAACATATAACCTTGAGCTTAAAGAATTTCTGACATCGGGGAGTGTGTGTTTATGTCTCTGTGTGTTTGCAAGTGTGTATATTTGGAAGGTGGCCAACATGTTCAGCGGAGGAAGCATAAATTGGCCCAGAGCGGCTCAAAGGGGCCTATCCTTGAATGACCCAACTCAACCGGCTGTTCCATCTCAATTCTATGTAAATCACCTCAACACAAAGAAGCTTGTGGAATGTACAGCCCCGTCACACGTAACACGGCAGAGACAGAGAGGTACAGTAAGGGGGAGGTTGTTCGTATAGACTGTCTGAGAAACACTCTACACAGCTCTCTGAATTGACCAAGATTTAGCTGCAGTGCTTCCTGTCGGTCGTTGTCTAAACGCATCAGGAGCAAACAAACAGACAGAGCAGCGAAGGGCACCTTTGACCGCTGGCGTCGCAAATCAAAGGTCGCGTGTTACCAAACTCCTGAACTGAGTTTAAAAGAGTATCTATCTGCAGTAGTCAACAGTTGGATCTGAATGAGAACGGGATGAATGTTTTACAATGTACGACAACAATAACATTTACTATTTTTTAAACAGAAATGATATTTTCTTTCTTTTACACACAGGTAATGTAGTTATACTATAATGCAAAACAATTAATTGATTCATTATTAGAATAAGTGAATAATCATAAATCATATCGCTCACGTTTTGGGAAATTTCACAACTTCCTGGCATTTTATATTAGGACATTTGTCAGATTAATTCCCAATAATATTAAGGCCAGACTAAACTATGTAACTTTGTCCGCTAGGGGTCTCTCAATCAAAACAATAACAAAAGACTTAGTTTGATGACGTTGTGAAGCAGTTGTTGTCCTGCCGTAGAAAATCTACCAGACGGGACTCAGGCAGAAGTCATGCTCACAGATGAGGTGCTGTAGTAAAGTTTTGTTCAAGTTACGCTGAGTTAAGCTATGAATGATCCATTCATGATCCATCACAAGCGACCAATACAAACAGTGTAAGGAAAAAACAGCTGACTGGCTAACAGTGTGTTTTCTTTTGTAATTCGTTGTTTGCCATGGACGTTGTAGCTGGATATGACGCATTAAAGTGTGACCGAAATTAACAACTCATTACCTTGAATAAAAGTGGGGATTTCCCTGGGTTTGGATATTGTTGGAAACATTTTTGATAATGTCACCACACAAGTCAACTTAATATATGTAATTGTTACATATTAGATCTTAGATATGCAGCATATGTAACTTGTCATTTAAACTGTTACACTTTTAAGATGATGGTATCCTTTCAAATCATGATGCTGAAATCGTTGTTTTATTTTTCAATGCAGACAAGTAATCAAAAACAGAGCAGCAGTGTAAAACCATTTCTGGTTTCCTGCACACAAACAGAACCACAACAGCATCATCACCATCAATCAGCTGCTGAGAGCGGACAGAGCCACAAATATAACCACAAATGCATCACACTGATCTGATGATCAACAGGTTTAGAGGGAACATTGCAGACCACAAACCCTCTAAATCCTTCACTGTTAATTACTGGGTAGTGACTGCATGGACCACTCCACTGTGTGGTAATTCAATAAGCCCATGGCCCACTAACTAATAATATCTCTGTCTGAAGAGCAGAGCAGCACTGGGAGGCTATCGAGGAGGTGGGGGGGGCAGTATGGGATAAATGCCTGAGGCGGGGGCAGCAGATCCCAAACACCAACAGTCTCAATACCTATAAGATTAGCCACATGAAGAGGGATCACCAGCATATACAGCGATCTAATACCTTTTGTGTGTCTGCAAGTGCCGCATTGATGTGTGCGTGCGCATCCCTGTGCGTGGCATGGCTGCATGCACGTATTTGCGGCCTTGACCAAATGACAGAGCGCAGAATGCATCCTAAGGTAATCAGATGGACAGCCTGCAGAGCTCATCAGATACAGCACACATGTAATTAAGAAATGTCTTCGCCACTGGTCCAGCTCACTAGCGCTGGCTGACACACACACACACACACACACTTGCACACACTTGTTTTCTGTCACATTAAAAAAAAGGAAACAAATAAATTGTCCATGCACACGAGCGCAGAGTTGCCACCATTTAAACATTCATTTCATTGCTAAATGAGGTTGATGTCTGATCAGTTGTGTCAGTAAATCCTCTTATCCCTGGGTAAGTATCTGCAGCTCAGCAGGCCAGCTGTCAAGAAGGCGGGAGCCCGAGGAGGGGGGGACAGTGCCAGATTGGAAGGAAGGGAGCGGTGGATGGATGGATAGACGGACGGGATGGGAGGATGGATGGGGGAGGGTGTGTGTCCATGTGTGTGTGTGTGGGGCGCTGGCAGGATGCCACTTGCCTCCCAACTCTCACATGATCCGACCACCACACACACATGCACCTAATCTCTGAGCCTGGCTGAGAACATTAGATCATCAATTGATTTTTCTGCACAGCTTAAGCAGATAGAAATAGTTACTGATGAGAGAAAACAGATATCTTTTAATATTCTCTACTGTTTCATTCACAGCAAAGTATCCAACGCTGCTTCAAGAACAACTGTTTATGTTCTGTCGGCCTTTAAAGAGAAAGTTACACAGCTGAAATTCTTGCAGAAAACTTAAGGAAGTAGAAGAATGTTTTCCATAAAGTCACACGGCTGTGACAACACAAGCACTTCAGCTCGTGTAGTTCTCTGACCCCAAATTCTGCCCGGTAGTGAACTCTTCCAGTGAACTCACACACACTATCCGACAAAAGAAGAGGAATGAACTCTGCTTCCTTTCTCTTTATCCCCATATCTCTGTGTTTCTTTAAATGAGCAAAAGAAATCCTAATTCCCGCTAATTAACATACATTACATTCTGTATTTCCCATATATAAGCTGTTGCTGCAACCACTGTGAACCGTTTTACCCAGAGGGATCAATGAGGAGGCCTGCAGCACTGAGGCAGGGAAAAGATAAAGATTGTTTTGCAAGTGATAAAAAAAAAAGTTTGGAACTTAAACAAGAAGAGCTAACATGAGTCTGCTTGCACAGACAGAACAGGCTGACCAGCAGTCCAGGAAAAACAAACAAACAGGTGGACTTACTGGCCTAATGCAAGGGCATCCACCGCTGTGACTCAGTCTGACAGGAGTTCCTAGAAGTGGTTTCTTGGTGTTACAGTGGCTGGTGAGATGGGTATGTGCTGTCAACACACACACATTGTACACGGCAACCCATTCATCTCATGCTGTGACCTAGTGAGTGGGACTCGGGCGACCTGACCTTTGGACCTGTGACCAGATCCCAGAAAGAAAGCAGCAGCAGCTATTTACAGCGACAGTTGACTTGTGGTGATGTGGCGTTTGACACATACAAACACGGATAATGTTTAGCATAGTTTGTAAAGTAGCATTTAACAAAAAGAAAGTCTGCGGCGGATGGAAACTTCTGTGTTTTTACCACTATTTGATCATATTTCAAAAGTATTGGAGACCCTGAGATTTTCACTTGATGATGATCATTTGTCTTATTACAATTTACCATCTGTATCAAATATAATTTCAATCCATCTATAATAGCTGTTATTAACTGATGTTTTCATCTGGACCAAAGTGCTGGTCTGTCTGTAACATAATGCATCGTCTGTTTTAATAACGGGTATGTTTTAAGATATATTGTGCCGAATGTATTTTTAATGTCTGAGAATAAATTACTGTATAACCTAAATTTTGTTACAGCATTTATTAAACCATAAAAGATTGTTTTTATTTTAATGAAATGTTCCTAGTGTTCCTATTAAATTTGAGGTTCAAATGAACATTTCGCATGTCATCAATAACTGCAGCTGACAACATTATGGATTTAATCAGCTGTGCCGATCATCCTGCTGAGCTTAGTTTAGATCCACAACAGAAAACCTAGACATAGTTGGTGGATAAGCACATATGTTTTGTTATTTTGGGTCAAAACCATAAAATGCTTTGTGAATACGGTGCACTATTCTCAATCCTTACTTTACCAGAGGCCAGGTGCTCTATCTACACATCACCCAACACAAACATCAGCCAGTCAACAGGCTAAGTACAGTAAGTGTGTACAGAAGCTCTCATCAACACCTCCCTAACACAGGAAGCAGGGAGAAGAAAGATAACTCATTAGAGCGAGCGTTGATGGAGGGATGCAGGGGTGACAGACAGCAGACACACAGAGAGAGAAAGCAGAATGGAGCGGGCTAATAGGAAGGGACATGTGTCGAGAGACAAACAGATAGTGAAGGACAAGGCAATGAGAGCTGGAGGCGTCCCTTAAAGCTGAGTGGCATCCACACTGACCACATCTGAAACCTAAAGTGAGTCACAAGCTCTTGATTGTAACGTGCATCAGCAAGGCCTCATTGGTTAAAATGATCCAGTGATTTTAAAGGAAGCAAATAAGTAACTGGAAATCTATATATAACAGAATATAACATTAACAATCCATAGGGAAAAACTGGAAATGCAAATATATTCAAAAGATAAACATGTCCTGCAACAGTTGCATGTTTCTCCCACTGGGGAAAGAAATTCAAAACAACTTGTTCAAAGAGTGAACAGGGATTAGAGGCATTATCGCAACAGTGGTGCAGACATCTTCTAAAACAAAAAACAAACAATCCCCACGCTGACTCCGATCGCTGCATTTCAAACAACAGACACACACAGAGAGGCAGGAACAAAACCGCAGCTACTCACAGTGACCATAACCTATCTCCCTCCCAGTGCTTCCTCCAGTTGCAGGTGACGCCACGGGGTGCCACATGCCTTCAGTTGCGAGTGTCGGCACAGGCAAGGGCGCCTGTCACTCAGGACCAGTACTCAGACGCGAGTGATGTCTTGGTGACACACTAGGGAAAAAAAAGAAAAAAAGAAAAGACGTGGACACTCTGGACATCAACCACTTTTCTGTACAGGAACAGGAACGGCAGGAGAAGGGGAGAGGGGAGGGGGGGCGTCGGCAATGAGCAGAAGAGGCGGAGTCCACCAGCGCCGGTTATAGGATTACCCAGATTATCCTTCCCCAGAGATCAATCCCACAGGAACTGTTTGCTGCCTGACTGCTGCACAAATCAGCTCTTCCACCGCCCACTCATCTCATGTCTCTCTCTCTATGAGCATTGGTAAAACTATCTGTTCAGAGACACCTGTTGTAGTGGCAGCGCAGGGTATGAGGCATGAGGAGGGAGGGTGGTCACGCTTAAGGATACAGTATTGCCAAAAGTTTCCGATTACTCTCTCTTAAAAGGGATCAAGACTGGAGAGCATGGGAAGACAGTGCGACAATGATGTTGCTTTAGTCTGCTGAGGTTATTATGTGTCATTGACATTTCCTTTGACATTTTCTCCCGTTTTTTCAGAATATTAGTCACCGAATGCTGCCTAATATAAGCGTGGTATAAATGGAATGTGAGTGTCAAAATAGGAAATGACAAGGAGGATAAAGAATTCTCTTCAATCTTCCCTCAAAAACATCTGTAACTCCCCTCAATGCCAAGATATAGCTGTGCCATGCATTAATGGTATACTGTTGTGGCCTGTGTGCACATCGTTAGTATGTTTGTGTGTTTAACAAGTGTTATAGCATTCCAGGAAGTCAGGAGTTGTCCTTTTCTGTGCTGTAGAATGGTCAAGCAAAGCAAGACGAAACCCCACAGGCCAAAAATATAACTTGAAGGCGGCAAGGAACAATGCACGACAAAACCTTTGGGGAATCTAAATAAACTGCATGCACGGATACATTCAATCTTTAATCTGATGCTTGTTGAGCACGCTATAAAAAAATGTTGATTAAAAATGGTTTTAGCGGGGAAAAAAGCACTGAGATCGGCCTGCAAACACTTTCTTGGACAAAAACCTCAGCAGCGCACACTCTTGGCCAAAGAAGTATGTCCTGTCATTATCACCAGAAAATAGTCTATTCTAATAAATGTGAACTTGGCACTGATTTAAATCTGCAGCTGCCGCTTTTAATTTATCCTGCCATCCTATCAAATGTCTTGTTTGCATTGAAGGATTGCAGGAAAAAACCTGAGACACCTACTGCAGCATGTGTGCATCTACTTTACTTACTTGACTTATCAGAGTCGAGCCTGTATGTGGCTGGATCAGATATCTATACAGTTGAGCTTGAGGGACAGCCAAAGGTAACTAGATCCCCTCGGTGACAGTAGCCTGGCAAGAGAATCAGACTCGGGCTGGACACTAGAAGAGGAGCAGACAGCCGCGGAGGACAGACACTCGCTAACTCCCACTTCACGAATCCCGCAGGGAGAAGCGAAAATAATACAATCCTCTTTAAATCCATGCAGTGTTATAACGCGTCGTGGCCCACATAAAAACTGTCAAATTAACCCTGAGAGCCATAATTAGCATTCAGACATGTATATGAAGATGTGGAAGGAGGATAATGGGTGACTCTAAATTTAGCTTGCACTCAAATCTAAACTCCTTAAAATCTGTCATTAGTGCCCTCATGTGTCTACAAGTACAAATCAAGCAATGATTGCCCAATGTAACGGAGGAGGGACACAATCACGTAAAGGAGAACGCAGAATGCAAAAAATGGGTAGAAAGATGAAAAAGAACAACAGTTTTTTTCCCTCCAAACAGTGATGTCTCCATGATCACGTTAATGGGTCCAACCTTTCAGCTGTGGGTGGGAGGTAGGGCTCCCACACCAAAAGAGCACTCAGAATAGCAGCAAGGTTTACGGCTTCATGTCCCTCAATGGAGACGTTTAATGAGCTCAAATGTATTTAGCTATTACCTGTTGCTGCCATTTGGTCAAAGAGCACTTTGGCTGTTCAAGTTAAATCCCACTCAATCTCACTCCTGTTAATGTTAGCAATGAGCTCCATGGTTCTTAAACTTCCGAATCTTTGGGACTGGCTCAGGGTACAGGGCTGCAACACATGCCATCCAAGAAGCTTGAACCTAAGAATATTCAGTGTTTTTTTCTTGATATATGAAGACAAAAATTTTGTATTTATAATTTTTTATCTAAATACTTAACTAGAGTGTCACTCAATAGAGAGCATATCAATACCATGGCAAAACAGTCCCTTTATGAAACCACATTTGATATGCGCTAACTTGTACACACTCTGAAATGCACAAATATCAGTCCCCTAAATATACCAGATTTCTTTCCGAAATAGATCTATCTCACAATGTTACAGAACGTGTAAAGAAAATCTTGAATCCGCCCCTTGATCCATATCCACACCAATAGTTTATGGGTCCTTCCCTGACGAATAACACATTCTTCCATTAAGTTTCTTGGCAACCTGTCCCATAGTTTTGCTTGAAAACAAACAAACCAACAAACGGACAGAGGAACTCAAAACCTCCTTGGTGGAGGTAACAAATAAACCAATCTCTGAGCCTTCGGTAAGCCTCTGGGGTCTACAGCTAATGTTTCAGTGCTTCTGGTGTTGACAGTGGATAATCAGGCCAAGATTCCAACTCTGTTCAACATACACTGTTTACAGTCCGACTAGTTTCTTTACCACGTGTGACAAGTGTTTCTCAATACAAAACAAACATTTTTGTAAGTGTTTTAGAGGAAGAGGACATTTTGGCTCATACAGCTACCTGCATAAGAAAACAGACACATTAAAAAGCCAATAGCTGATGCATTTCAGTCAAATCCTGCTCAAACATGATCGGTCATATTCGAAACAACGATCCACAATATCTTGTCCCATGCCTACAGATTCTGCACATTTAAATGAAGAATCTGTTTTTACAGATTACAAACAATCCAACAGACAGGGGTGGAAACATAACCTCCTTTGTGGATATAAGTGGGCAATCAACAGTGTTTCTCCATCTAAAATATGTTGCAGTGATGACTGGTAATAATATTGGTTTGAAAGACACATGAGCAGATATTATATGTGTGCGCAGGTGCAAATAACATTTACTCTCTTTGCACTCAGATACTCTGTTAGCAGGATAACAGTGTATTATTTGATGTAGAACGTAGCATGTCTTTAGCTGTTATGCCTTTCATTTCACAGCAGAATATATTTAAAACAAACATGCATGCTATGATTAAAATCAGAGGGAAGTGTCATCCATATGTACATGTTCAATGTGTGCTCATGTGTGACAGGTATGTTGTTATTGGATTATTAGCAAAGAAATAGCTTAATACGTCTCATAACCTGACACGGCTGCAGCCCGTAGGCCTTTCAAGGTTCTCTGCTTCATTAAAGCTGGAATTAAATCAAGGCTTTGACTTTCTTCACTAATGACTAATTAATGGAAATTAGCCCTGCAGAGAATGGCCTCCTTACGCCCCTTCTTTTCCCTTATCCTGTTCTCACAATTAGCACCCACTCACACACAAAAGACAGGCAAGTCTTTTTACACTGGTGCATAAATACACACACACACACTCAATCAAAAGTGCCCAGGAGTAAACCCACCGCGCGCATTGTGTGCTAATGCATGTGACAGCATTGAAGGATTGCAGCTCTCAAACTGCAGAATCCTTGAGTAAATACCTGAAGAGAGCCCCACCCTCTCTACCTGTGTGGCTGACTTCACTGTGCAGGAGTGGGTGGTGGGTGGGGAAGGCTCTGTGCTGGGATCGGCCATTAGAGAAGCAGGTTTTAATACTCCTGGGACTTCACAGTCAAATTTTTAACACCCACATTCTTTAAGTCACATGATATCTTGGTCACATTTTGTTGCCGTGCATATAGGAAGTCTGCAAGTTAGCAGCCGTGGAAATTTAGGCATGGAGCATGTGATTGAAGGAGTTTCTCTTCTTGCTCCCAGTGAGTGTGTGTGTGTGCACGCACTGGGAGGTGAATCATTGACCCCTGGCAAGTGATGAGAGTTCACATCAACTAGGGGGACTTCTTTCTCCACCTCCACACCCCCCAACCCCCACTACCCTACACTTCCCCTTTATTTTGCTACCTTCACTCTTCTCCATTCTGTCCATCCTCTCGGCCGTCACTTCCCTCATCTTTGAGCTAAATAAGTTCCCACATCTCAAAAGTCAGCGCGTCTGGAATCACTTCCACTGACGGAATTAAGTTGGTTTTTTTTAAACAATGAGAGAGAAAAACGCTGACTGTGCTCGATGCCCGGGGCAGGCCTGCATTAAACCTGCTGAAACATAACATGTCTGGGAAAAGGTGAGTGGATCACAAAACAATCCGCACATAATCAGCAGTCTGTTTTTCTTTTTCATTTTTTGACTTCACACTGCCTCGCCTTCGCCTCACTCTAATGACAGATTCCAAAGGGGGATCATCTCCCATTTCAAGAAATGGTTATTGTTTATGGACCTATTTTCATTATCAGTTTCACTGTGTGGGCTGTTTATACCAAAATACATCATAAATAACAGTCATGAGCCAAAACACAGACAGTGGTTGTGGCTTTGCACTAAGAAAGAACTCATTGACTTTTTAAAGTAAGTAAATGCACGAAAAGATATGAACTGTCCTCGTCCAGAGTTCAACTGATACCAGTTTACAGCCACTGCTTTTAGAACTGATGTGTTTATTCCTCATATTTTCAGTGCTATTAAGTATTTTAATGATATAAAAAATGACAAACATGTAATGTTTAACCCAGATTGCCTCTGTGAGGCAGAAAAAGCTGCCGCAGGATTACTGTGGGACCTCAAAACTCCCCACTGAAACCAAGACTGATGACATTCTTTGAAAAGAGAGGCATTTAAATGGTAGAAATGCATCTATCACAACCAAAGTTCATGATTTTGTGAATGTGCCAAAAATTGTATCCCACACAGGAATTTTTCCAACTTTTAAAGTCAGTTTTTCTAGAGCTACAGCCTGAGGAAAAACCTTGGGATTATTAGCAGAGGACAACAGGACATGGTCAATAACAGACAAACTAAACTGAAGTACACCCATAATCAGCATAAATCTTGGGGATGCCTCCACTGCCTGATCAGAGCAAAGTCTTTTAAGGCAGACAAGAAAGCTGTGTAGCCCAGGGGGACTATTCTGTACACTGTGGGCTTCCCTCTTTGCCGCTCTCCCATCCAGATGTCTCTCTTATTCCCCCTGGGAAGCCACATTCATTATGGAAACAATTTTCAGCCCCCTCCAAATGGTGCCGAGATATGTGGCGATAACATAAAGCGGCTGCTCAAAGACCTCTCTTTCTGTATTTGTGTCCTTGTAATGCAACACTAATATCTTTCTTTTCTTTTTTACCCCACTGTAAAGGACAAAGGTTCAGAGGCACATGCCATATTTTCTCCTGCAGTGGTTTGTGAGTGAGTGTATTTTGCAGGGAGAAGAAGAAAAAAACATCACATGATAAATGATGCATATAGTGTGTGACTCAGTGAAGCTCAATAAGCCTCAGACTCCCTCTCTCCACAGTGAGGCTGATCTAAGGAGGTTTAGCTGTCATCAACACGTACTGAGCACTTATTTGGCACATAGGCCTTCTTCTATACAAGTATCCTACATGCTGCCATTTAATTCTGCGGATCTAGTCGATAACAGAAAAACAGCCATCAGCTAGTTCAAGTTCATCTTTTTACAGAGTGAGAACTCACGTCAGGCTGTCACTCAGCTGAACCCAGCCACAGCAGCAGCAGTGACCAGGGCGCGTCTCCCTCCCTCACACACACACACTGTTTACCATGGTACAAGTTTGTTGCTGCAGAAATCCGCCATTCCTCTAAGGCTCCTTATATACGTCCACCCCAGACCAATAAATTGTGCGTTTGTGTCTCAAACTGTTTAGTTAGAGACGTGCGACAAGCTGCCATAAATTACATAAGCGCAATTAAAGTGCCAACCTCTGACCTTGCCTGACCGGCGCGACCACCGCGATCACCTGACTTTTGCAATTGGCCGCATTGACACTTTTTGCAAAATAAAAAACTGAGTGAAAGAATACGATCACTGAGGCAGGAGAGCGGCAACAACAACCGGGTTCAGCGAAAGTGCTTTTGCGCACGGAGAGACTGGAGCGGACTGGAGAGAGGAGACGCCATGAAACAAACGCACCCCCCTCCTCCTCCTCCTCCTCCTCCTCCCTTCTTCTTCCAAGAAACAAAATGCGCAGCAGCACCACAGTCAGACACGGATCTAAACACACCGTAGAAGTCGTACTTACTGAGGTGTAAATACGGATCATTACTGTCCATACTGTGCGAGTGGCTTGCGTCGGTTTCCTACAGTCGGTGCCGCTCCGCATCCCAGCGCATTCCTCTCCCAGGCAGCCCGGCTGAACTCTGCTGTGAGGCGGGCGGCTCTACACGGGGGCCCAGCGAGGGGGGGGCGGCGGCAAAAACAGGGCTTCTCCCAATGACAACAGTGGGTCCGTATCAAGCTGCAACACGATCATGACGAAACACAGCTCCCCTCTCACACGGGGACAGCGATGTTGCAATGTTGCAATCTCAAAAAGTAACCCAAAAAACTGCCTTTAAAAGCTGTATTTTTTAAACTCTAATATTCCCCCCACCCCCGAACTCTTCCTACAAAGCAAGTTTATTTGTGTGACCACATTTCAACAACAAGGTAACAAAGGGTCTTACATTTAAAAAAAACACATGGAGAATAAAAAAATAGATAGGAATCAGAATCAGATTCAGAATTCCTTTATTGTTGCAAGATTGGGAAATTAACAACATTGCAACAGCAGGATAATAAAACAAGCATGAAAAGTGATGAATATAAAGTAAAGATAAGATAAAACAAGATAAATTTGGAAATAGGAAATAAGAGAGTGAAAGTATAGTGTAAGAAATGAGTAATTATTTCATGTAGGCTAATAAAAGGCAAATAGGGAACTCTTCAGCTTTAATTGAAAAGAACTAAGAGTTGCCGCAGACCTGATTTTCTAAGCCTGTTCCAAATAAAAAGCAAACATCAGCAGCCAGTAAGTCAATAAGGAAATGCTAACAACATATTAGTGATGAGGGCACGTTGCTTCTAATTTAGATGGAGGTTGAATGCACCACAAGGATGCAAGCACTCTATTTGTTTGTTTATTCCTCTGTTGAGCAGAAAGGCTGATGCATCATTCACACTCACGCTCTTTTCATGCAGTTTAGCAGAAAATGTGCATTTATTTTGTAACGTCAACAACAGCAGTCCATCTTCAAATTGTTAATCTGCAATATTGAATATCTGATTGAGTGTTCTTTAACTGTATACAATCTATTAACATATTAGTGATGAGGGCACATCGCTTAGTGAATGGAATTGAATGGAGCATGCAAGAATTTTATTTGTGTTTATTTCTGCATTGAGCTTGTGGTTTACACACTTGTGCATCATTCACACCCACACTCTTTTTGGAGCAGGATACTATAATACTTGCAGCTCTCTGCAAATTATCCATGTTAATCTGCATCATTATTGTCTTCAATTACATATCTAAATTTGCCTTTACAAGATTGTGTTGAATATATCAACACATTAGTGATGAGGGCACTTTGCTTATCACCACAATGAAAGCATTTTATTTGTCTGTTTACAGCTTTTTCTATTTTTTTGCAGCTTTTCTTGCAAAAAACTACAACCCCCCCTGCTAATTATCCATGTTAATCTGCCTCATTGTACTTGTCTTTAATTCAACATCTAACTGGCTGTTGCTTGCATAGTGTTACATTTGTTAAAATAAACGCAGAGCACTGTTTTGAATCTCCTGAGGGGGATCTACTCCATGTGTTTACCTACTGCTGTAGAGAGAGTGAGTCCTGGTCTGGGTACCCCCCGGAGTCCCCCCACACCCCTGCTCAGAGTGCGGGGTCATGCAGGGGTGAGGCTCCCGGTACCTCAGAAGGTTATTCAGGAGTCACGCCGCTCTGTGGCATTCACAGCGGTGAACTGCGCAGCGGCCAGACGCTCCGTCAACGCCGGGTCCACCGCCGCTGCTGCCGCTGACCACTCAGCGGTGCGCCCCCCGGCTCCACCGTCCTTGTAACAGCGACCCATAAAAGAGCACAGGAGGATGCTAACCAAGATGAATGGGCTTTTTTTCTCTCGGCTCATTCTACACTAATCAGAGCTTTTCATTTGTTATGGCCGCGCGCCAGCCCCTCCACCGCAGCCTCCATTAGGGCCATGATAACGTATAAATTCATTAAAGTCAAAGAGGGGGACATTAAAATGGTCATTTGTCACATCTCTCTTTGTGTGTCCCTAATGGTGGCACATGGTTCAAGGCATTGAGATGATTTTGGTAGGGGGCTTTCTTCCCCCCTCCATCCTCCTCAGAGCATTAGGAGAGGAACGTGGGAACTGGGGAAGACATGTTTTTCTATTTATTATTAATATTTCAAATTCAACTTTTAGCTGTTTGTTCTTTTCTGAAAAATTACATGCACGCCACCAGAGATCTTTCATGTCCAAAAATACAGTGTAATTTTGCACTTATTTTAATCACAATTATAATTTTTTTTTCATTTAATAGTTCATTTCCTTTATTTTCCTAATTACAGCTATTTTTTTATTTTGGTTGATATCCAAATCCATCCATCAACTTCAGAGCCAACACACAAACACACACACACACAGACTCACAGTCAATGAAGCAACCCTTTGCACTAATCCCTTTGTATTCACAGCACCATTCCCACCAAACAATGTCCCAAAGTCTAATCCTAAACCAAGCTCGACAAACCTGGGCCACCTGCTAACAAGTCACAGTGCAGCCAAAAACGCCAAACACAAACCAAGTCACTTCGAAACCCTACTGACGTCTGCAGAACGCAAACAATAATTCATTAATTGAAGCGCACGTGCATCCAAACACCTAAAACATGTTTTTTTCTCTCTCTCTTTTCTCCTTCTCTCTGTTTTTGGCCCCGTCCTCTTATTTCTCTGTGTCCGTCCCTCTCTGGCTTCAGGACGGAGGTCTCTGGCTGCGTCGTCATGGGAGATGGCTCTCTCCATCTGCCTCTGCTGTCATTAGCTCATCTCCATCACGCTTTATCAGAGGGAAGCCTACGCCTCGCCTCACCATCACCCTCCCTCCTGGACCCTCTTCACCATTCTGACAACCCCTGCCCCCCTGCTCCATACATAAGTCGGAGATGATAAGTGTTCTCCCTCTTTGTGTCGGCCCGGGATAAGACAATGCCACACAGCACTACAGAACATCATCCATCTCATAGGTCATCAATCTGGGACACAAAAGATGAAATGTAGCTCGAACTCCCTTTCGCTAAAAGGGGGTTTCTCTTTGCTCAGAAGGAGCTCGTCCTCCACCTCCTTTTCTCTACAACAAATTCTTCTGTTGTGTGGCCACATGGGACGAAAAGAGCTCAAACTATTTTAAGCATTTCTTAAAGACACAATACAATATTAATGACACCAATAGTTGCAGCAGCCAGTGTCCAGACATTATTTCAACATCTACAGTCAGGAATCTACTCGTATGTCTGTGTTTTTAGTTGTGCAAGCCTGATTGCGCACAGTCTGTAAACCACCAAGTTGTATTTTAAATTTGAATTTATTTGGTTCCAACCTAAAAGCCCTGTGTCACATGAATAACATCAGGTCCCCTTTGTTTCTCCTGATCTCTCCCTAATTGGGTTTTCATTGTCTGATCAATGGTGTGGGGCTTCTAGCCTTTGTTCATTGTCTGTGATAGCATTGTCTTGGTTTGGCTTCTCCATTTCATGACACATATTTTACTGTAACAACCCATTTTTAACAAGATAACGCACTGAGGTTAACATTTTCTCATTGAGGCCAGGAAACAAACATTGAGAAACAGAACATGATCAGTTTTCTCCAAAATAAGATAAAAATTGTAGAAATGGTGATGGCTAACATGCATGGCACTTTTATGATGGTGTGTCCATCAATCAGTTAAGTCATTATACAATTGTTATTCATTACCTTCACCAAGAAGGTTGTTTTTTTCACCCCCAACATTTGTTTGTTAGTTGGTTTACCTATTAGTGCAGCACTGTTACGCAAAAACCACCGGGGCTGTTCTATGATGCAGAATTTGCAGTTATCAGGGTAAGTTCAGGTTTAATTCAGAGTTTTCAGTTCTACAAAGCTTGTTCCCTTTTTATCAGGATAAATCACCACAGTAACTTGTGCTGAAGTTGGAGATAGATCAACCTGTATAAAAGCACTGTCCATTAACCAATCCTACACTTTGAAACATGATATCACTGTTCTTAGAGGATCCTGTGGAACTCAATGTGTGGATTGTTAGAAGGAGGGAAAAGAACCCAGTACATTTTGGTGACACTCAAGGTCAGATCCAGGATCTATTTTCTTCACTGTCGTACTGTTTTCCCAGGGAATAACTCATGGATTTTGACCAAAAAAAAGCACATTCAGGGAACTTACAACTATGAGTGTGAAATTTTAATTTCAAGGGACTGTTGGGCTTTGATGGAGGTACGTGCTTTACTGTGTGCTATTCTAGTTTGGACTATACTATTTAAGTTATAGCAGAGATTTGCTGCTTCCTGCAAACCAATTTGAAACTTATTTTATTTTACCTCCAACAAATAGGTTGTTAAATGATTTGTTTGTTTGTTTCTCTATTTACCAACAGGATTACTCATAAATCACAAAAGCGATATCCATGAAATTTTGGGGAGGGATGGGGCATGACCCAAAGAAGAACCCATCAGGTTTAGTATTGTCCATCAGGTTTAGGATTGTTTTTTGGTTTGTATGTTTGTTTGTTTGACAGCAGGATTATACAAAAACAAGTGGATCCAATAATTTTTTGGATTGAGGAGGCAGGATTCATGTGGACTATAACTTGATTCTAGAGGATGATCAGTGGTGTCAATCAAAAAATAAAAGCCCCAATAGTAAAACTAACACTGTGACAATTTATATGTATTAATTTCAAAGTGTCATGTTATGACAAGTTGTCAATATAATAATCATCTCATGTCTCTTATTACCCAAGGATTTCAAGTTCAGGGTGAGATGCTCATGAATGGTATGGCTGGTATTCAGATGACAAGAATATTAAAAGATCTTTAACATGGACATCGTGTTTCAGATAAACAAGATTTTTTTTTGTAGCAGCTTCAACAGCAACAGAAACGTGACACTAAATCCATTTCACGCAAACATGGTTAAACCATTCTGCCATCATATCGGGTCAACCTGTTAATCTGCTGTCCGTGCCTGTGTCCAAAAGGGCTTTACACACAATCAATATGATGAGCCCTGATCTGTTCCCAGACAGAAGACATCATGTGTGCCATTACCACACCACTCCAATCAGAGATGCTTGCATTATCATTACCATCAGGACACACATCTTACATTTTTCAGCTCTGTGGAGACTGTTTGACACTTTGACTTTGAGGCAAAGCAACCTCTGACTCCACAAAGGTGCACAGTCACACTGTCATGCTGGGAATGAAGAGAATAGCATGCACTGCACTGACCAGTGATTCATGAAATCAGATTGCTTACATTAGTTGATTGGGTTTTATGTTACAGGTGGACTGCAGACTTCTGGCAGATGGTTGACCCCTGTTAGTCTTTGCCATGCTTTAATAAGTTAAAACAGACTGGGGGCTTGTTCTTTTAGAAGAGAGCTAAACCAATCCAGCAGGGAATCAACCAGACCACCTCAGGTTAATCTCTCCACGACCTGAAATGTCCATCAAGGATTAGGCCCAGTGTACACCTGCTACTGACTTTTAGCACATAATGTCACCACTTTAGGGTTAGGTTTAGGCCCATGCGAGTGACCTGTGTGTGTGTACTTGATTTTGTTACCTCTTTTGGACATAAACCAACATAACTACCAAACTAGAAGACATCATGGGGTCCAAAGCGTGGTCCCGACAAGACACAGTATAATTTCTGAGGTCCTGATTAAGGTCAGGGGTGAGATGTGAATTGGTCAAGGTTAGGGTCACAAATAAAGTTTTGGTCAGGCTGTCCACAATGAATGAAGTCCATGCAAAGTAAATCCTAATGAGCTGTAGCAGCGCAAACCTGTGTGTGTTTGTGCATGTGACATGCATGAGTGCATGTCATTCTACAGCTGTGAGGGACAATTTTGGATTAACCCCATCATTGTGAGGACATTTTGGCTGGTCCTCACTAATTCAAAGGGTTGTTGAAGGGGTTTTAGGGTTAGGATTAGGTTCAGTTTAAGGTCAGGGTGAGGGACTAGGGAATGAATTAATTCGATGAGTGTCCTCGCAACTATTGAGAGACAAGTGAGTGTGTTTGTGGCGTTTGAGACAGAGATAGAGAGTCAGAGAGAATGAGTGAGAGAGAGAGAGAGAGAGAGAGAGAGAGAGAGAGAGAGACACTATCAATAGAGAGGAACTGCAGACTGCGGTACTATCACGCCACCTTGCGGTCTAGTGGAGCAGCACCGGCTGTAGCGTGCTGTTCAGCTTTTCCCACGTTTGTCCCTCGGCGGCACCCGTAGACTTATGGTAAAAGTCAGACGTGTATCTTTGCGTCAGACGGAAGTCGAGCTGCCAAACAAGTGAAACATGAACACGCGCATCAACCGTCGCTTGGTGGAAACTTGTCACAGCGGGATTATTCACTGATTCATCTAAACGAGGATGTCCTCCGCCTTATCGTTTCAGAGTCCAGAGGCGGACGGTGAGACCGGCGTCATGTCCATCGACCAGGGAGGAGTGTGGGGTAAGAGACGGTTTACTACACCGACCACAGGGGACACACACAGGAAGTAGAGTATCACTAATGAATCTGTGTGTTATGTTTTACGATTCACATTTGTCTCAATGCTGCTGCTTACAAAACCACTCAAGCCTGAGGTGGAGGGAGAGAGTGTGTTTCCATCACATGCTACAAGTCAGTTAGCATTAGCTCGCTGGTGATGTAACACGGTGTAACATGTCAATAATGAGACATTTGCATGTCCCCAGTGTGTGTCACTCTTTGCTGCTTAATGTGAATCATTGAATTTGTTCAGCAAGAAGCTGAAACTTAAAATAATGAAAGAAAAACAATAACTTTTGGTCTTGTTATTCTTGCTCTTTCATTTTTATGTTTCCTAAGTTTTTTTTGCCTTTGACTGTCAATATTTTATTTAAAACTGAATTGTTGTTTCACTACTTTCGTGTGTTATTGTCCATTTTAAACGCTGACCTTAAAGACTGGCATTTTATTGTTTTTGCATTTTAAGTTTTTTGTTGTTTTATTCTTTAGTCGTTTCATTTTTTTTCCGTTTTAACCTTGTTTCTTATCTGTTCTGTTTTATTGCATTGCTGAGTATGATCTGGTTGTCATACAGTCATATGATTTCTTATCTTTTTAATACTTTATTTTGTGAAGCACCGTGTGACTCTGGTTTTCAAAGGCTCTGTAGAAAAGAAGTTTAATATGGTTGTTATTTTTTACATAGTTACGAACATGTAAATCTCCTACTAACATGTAAATCTCTAAATAACAATGAATAGCTTTTTCTTGTAATTCCATGTTTTCTCTTAGTATCCAAAGTCATAGTTTGTCTCTTGATTAAACTGGGACTCATTGTATGTCCTGTGTGTCGGTCACCACACAGACATAAGCCTGTTCGATGAGCTTGTCGATGAGCTTGTCGACCTGGGAGATGCAGTCGATCTGCTTGAGACCTTGCAGAGTTCTGGCTATGTGAGTAACTCTTCTCAGTATGCACATTTTTTATCATGGAATGTTCTCGCATGAAATGTGGCCAACAGTAAATGTGCTAGTTAACAACTCAGTGCAGTGTAAATCTCAGACAATTTCCGAGGGCAATAACAGGAGTTTTGTTGACTGCTTAATTAAATGTGTATTGCTCACAATGTTGATCAGTTGCTTACTCCTGTTTCACATTTGCATCCAGATACGATTCACTGGTTAAGAATTTTGTGTTTGGTTTCTCAGGCCAACGAGGGTCCAGGTCTGGACTTTGATATTGATATACCTCTGTGGAATGAAGTTGATACATGCAGCATCTACACAGGTACAGCGACACATGTTGATACATGTCATGGTTATCACATTTTATTTTGCAATACCAGGAGTCAAGGCAGAAGTATTAGAGTTTGATGTATTAACATGATGTAACCTTTGTGTGGTTTTGCACTGTGATGAGATTGTGGCAAGGTGATTATAATGATTTTCAATAGTCACCCAATGATGGTGTAGTTGTGCTATAATTCTTTCAAAACTATGGTACATTATTCTGTTGTTTGCATGGCTATATTCTGAAATACAAAGAAAGCAGGGGTGGAGTAAGGTCAACATATCCAGGATATCTTTTCGTTATTTGCCTTCACTGCACCTGATGTTGGCTCTACTGATATCCTCTATTACAAAACAAGTTATCAACTGGGTCATGGGGAAGAGTTTGAGTTGAGAATAATAACCAACATTTTCATAAACATAAATAACGTTTTCAATATGATTTGGAAAGAAATCATGATACCCACAGCGAAAGACAAAAGTCATGTTTAGCAACATGAAATATAAGCAATATGATCACCTAAGAAAAACACAACAAATGATTTGCATTTGTTAAAGTCAGGTTGAGGATAAACTAAGTAATTAAACATTTTATTAAGTTTCCCAAATACTCCCTCATACAAGCCTTGGTGTAGCTCATTCATTAGGTTAAAATCTTCTGGAATCAATGGTTTATGCTGGTTTAGAGAAGGAAATATGAAGGCTGTTTGTTTTAAGGTAAGATAAGATGACCTTGTTTGAATTACGGCAGCCGTAGTTTGTGGACAAAGTTATGTGTGATATTTACATCATCAGTGTTTTTACATGAGGTGTAATAGTTCACATTATATAGATGAATAATATTGAATTAATGTTTATAAATAAACAGCGATGGTAAACACACATCCCATACCAATAATCCTTCATATATCATCTGTGTGTGTTTGCTGTTGTGTATCCAGATGGTGAGGTGAGTGTGGACTCTCTGTCCCCTGCCCACACTCTGAGCTCTGTCCCCTCTCCTGCCTCTGTGGAAGCTCTGTCCCCATACTCCCTACAAGTAAGTGTCACTGTCGTCAACACTTTGTCCTCCTGAGGGTTCGACATTTGACTTTCATTTCCAATGCAAATTTTTACCTTTGTTAGTGCTATTTATTTATTTAATATTTAAATATATGTCCATGTTGGTGCATGGATAGGACAAGTGAAATCCTCATCCAGATGGTGTCGGAACATTGACAGCTGCTCTATACACACACACACACACACACACACACACACACACACACACACACACACACACACACACAGTATTAATAAAAGCCTTAAACACCTTGTCAAATCAATAATTTGCTGTCGATCTGAGCTGTGTCCTGCCCCCTCATTAGATAAAAGGCGCTGACAACTTCAGCGACATTAGCATAATTTAGCAGGCAGATGTTTTCACAATATGTCAAAACAAGGACATGGGTTACATCTCTTTCTGGCCCCATCACAGTCTGCACACGTATGTCTGCTCACTGATTCACCCTGTCTGGTTCCAAGGACACGTTTGTCTCCTGGAGTCTTTGAATATTAACAAGGACACTTGAGTCTTGTCTCATCAGATATCTCTAAAGTACATGTATTACATAGAGTATGACTGGCTTCGTAAGGATTAAATGTATTTCAGATTCATTTTCGGTGTCCCCGTGCTATAACCAGTGCCTCCCCTGAGCTTATTGGCGGTATTGAGACAAAGTCTCTCTGCTTCTCTGTCCAGGATGAGGCCCTGTCACCACAGTTGCAACACTCTCCTGTTTCAGTCTGCTCAGAGTCCAGTGGATTTTGTTCACTGTCTTCCCCAGCCAAGACAGCTCCAAGGAGGACCAGCCAGACCGCACAAGGTGAGACAGTCCTTGCCACTGCTCATTTGCTCCATCAGCTGTCATCTACATTTGTACTCTTTGTCCAAAAACCAGCCGCGATCAGATTAGTAAAGGAAACAAGTAAAAGTAATTTCTCATCTAAAAACGAGCAGGAGTACAGGAAATGTAACGAATGCAAACTCGCTCAGCATTTCCTTGTATGTGCATAAATTCAGTTTTCTTATCTCACTCCTTCCAACCCCCCCACCCACACACAAACGCCAGCCAAAGCAGCTCAGTCTATCAAGAGGCCAATTAAGATCGGACCAAAAGTTTCCATCCAGCCCAGGCCGCTGATCAGAGCTCTGCCACTTGCTCCGGCAGCAGCTTCCCTGCAGGCCAAGACGATCATCATCCAGCCCCTGCAGACCACTGTGCTGCCTTTGGTCAAACCAGTTCCGGTCAACATCCAGCCAGCGCCCCCTCCAGGTCAGAGATCTCACTGCAACACATAGAAACACACTGAAACACATTGTCTTGCATCATGCTGTATTTCCACAGATCTGTGGATTTCTGGACATAGTAAAGAACATAATCATGTTGCTTGCTAGTAACTGTATTTTTTAACTTGTATGATTTAGTATTAATACTGTTTGTTGTTTGTGATGTATTTGTCTGATATTATCACTGAAACAACCATTTACTTTGTTGTGTCATGGCCAGCAGAGGGTGCTCCAATCTAATGTTTTGCTCACTGGTCAGTTTCATACCATATTACTCTTCATGATTGTCAAATAATATTTAGATGTTTAATGTTTGCTTTTTCAAATCCAAAATAGGTCAGAAATTTGAATGTTTTTGACAAAAATAAAACTTAAGTAATCAGCCACCATTTATAAAAAAAAATTAAAAAATCTTGATAATATATATATATATATGTATATATATATAATCAAGATTTTTTTTTTATAATCCACAGGTAAACCAGAGATTACTTATCAGCCGGTGTGTGTATTTGCATTTAAGTCATTATAACTCTTGCCTGGTTTACCAAGCGGGTCCTCTGTGTGTTACATCAACAGCACGTAGGCCAATATAAATACTTATGTCATTGCTTGGGACCGAAGTGGGTGGAGTATCTGACCTCTCCTGACTTGAATTTGAACTTGGCTCTCCTGTCTGCCTGGTAATGGCCAAGATGGCAGATGGCTACGGCCAAGACATCCAAGTTTAGGACCCCAGATGAAAGTCAAGTCAGGCCTGCTCAGTTTTATGGGCTTCATTGGTTTAAGATGCTCTTGCAGCTGATGTTTGAGATCAATGCTTCAGGGAGTTGAGCAAAAGAAATCAGAGATGTTAACAGATGAGTTCATATTTTATAGGGTCTGACCGGTAGTTATGTATTTCCGGGGGAACAAACAGGCTGACTGGTTTTCCCAAAGCTTTTAATTTCTTTTGACTTTCAGCCTCTTGAATTCTTCTCACAGAGCTTGAGCACGAGACATAATTCTGGCACCACTGACATTCATTAGCAGGCCTGGGTAATATTTCTGCACTATTAGCACTGACAGACTCGCTTAGCATTAGAGGTGAAGCTTACTGGGTCAGTTTTGAGGAATGGTTCCTGGCACAGTCTCACTGGGAGGTGTGGGCTAAATAGCGGGAGGCTCCTACACCAGCAGGACCTTTATAAACACGGACAATATTTTTTTTTCTTGTTGAGGTTTGTGTTAGTTTCTGTCAGGCCTCGTTGCTTTTTAAAATGTGGGCACATGTTCATGTTTACGTGCGTTCATGCACGTAAAACTCCCGACAGCTCTCAGTAAGGAATGTGGAAGTTAAAGACCACAGGTCAAGATGGTAAACATCCTCTCCATATGTACTTTAAACTCAAAAAGTGCCTTTAAAAACAAGGGGTCAATGTAGGTCATCAGAGGTGATGGGAGTTCAAGGAGCTGAAAGTACCATCTGCAGCTGGAGGCTCCAGAAACATCACAATGATAGATTTTACAGCTTGTATAGAATATTAACGTTAATGTTTTTATTTATTGTAATATATGTGGGATAAGAACATACACACAAACACATAATCACAGTCAGTGTTAAACAGTGTTAATCATTGAGTAGATATATGATTATAGTATAGCTAGGTATGCTAACCCCATGTAATTTAGGTGTCTATGTGTTATGCCTCTCCCTCAGCTCATCCTATAGTGCTGTCTCAGCCAAGCCAAGTGCTACAGATCCAGACACCACAGGCCGTCACAAGCAATGTGGTCGCCATGCCAACGCTCAGCCAGGACAGGCCTGTCTCCGTCACACTCCGAACCCCTTCCTCAGATGACGATGTGAGTCAGTTATGTTTTCCTCACTACTAGTCCCCAGTCGTAGAGCCCTGAGATATTAACAGCAAGCGTGTTCCCGTCCACCTGTTTCTGTGAAAATAAAACAGACCAGAGACGCACCATGTCATGCAAAACTTAATCTTTGGATTAAAGCAGTGGATGGAAACACATTAATCTGTGGTTAGACTTGTAGAGTCTGCAGCAAATGTGCACAACTGTATTCATGAGCAGTCATTTAAAAGATTTAGGCCTGATGTTTTGAAAGTTATAAAAAAAATAATTTTACTTTATTCTCATTGTTTTCATTTTTGATCGGCTGATGTTAATTGGTCAGGACTTGAGTGGTTAATGTAAAACACAAGACTTTCTATGCCTGTGTGGACATGCAAGGACTTGCTTGTGTGCACTTCTATGTAGCTGCATGCATATATGTATAAGATTATGTGTATTAGCTTCTCTCTAACCCCCCCATTGCGAACCTCAAAATAATCAACTGTATAAATAATTGATGGATGCATATACATGTATATGTACTGTTATGTTGTGTTTGATATATTCAAGCTAGATCTTGTCTCATTTTAGCTCCCTCAATGATCTTTTTTAAATTTGAGGCCAAACTTAATGTTAAAATTAAGGATTTTCACTCAATAATTGAAAGATATTTCCTCAGAAATGTGAGAAAAAATAATAGTATTTACTATTATGTGATTCCAAGATTTAAACATCCAAATTAGTATTTTTGAGAGTAAATTGACGTTTATTGTATTTGTCATTATGGACTCATATGGCATCTGCATGGCAGATCATTCATTAAAACTAATGAATTCCGTTTTTGCCAAAATGAATATGCTTATTATCAGAATACAACAGACAAGTGCAATACAGTCATGGAGACACAATCTGTGGAAGATCATACCTGAGGGGTTTCATTGGAAACATAGACATGTGATGTAATTGTAGTTCAGACAGTTTGAACAGTGTCACACTAGGACATGACTCTGTGTGGGTGACAGAGATCCGTCTGTGTGTTGCATTCAGGGGTGACGTAAGGACAGCTGCAGTGTACAGAATACACACACAGAGTAAACTGTTGCATGTGCACACACACACACACACACACACACACACACACACTAATCATCATTATTTCTCCTCTTCACATAGTCATTTTTCATAGCTCTGCAAAATGACAGCACAGGAAGGCACGGTGCTTTGAGCGAAACATCTAAGGTACTATTAAGTGCAGCAGGGACTGCCCCTGATATTTAAAAGTTAAAAAAGAAAACTATATTATAGTTTGTTTTGTTTATAGTACAAACTTGTGGTCTCTCAAGAATGGCTCCCCATCTTTTGTCCATGCTGTTTTATTTTAAATGGGAGAGTCTGTCATATTCTTTTAAAGAACTGTGGCTGTTGTTTTTGTTCTGACTTTCTGCAAAGTCTCTTCTCGTAGTCCGAGCTGTCATCCTCCGTGCAAACTGGGAGATGCCGTGACTTTCAGCAACTTCACTGTTGTTTCAGGCTTTGGTCTCCAGCGCAACAGTTCCTGATGGCTTGCTCTTGTCTGACCTTTAGAGAGTTGAGAAACATGTTCTCACTCCCTATTCTGTTTGTCTTGTTTTATTATTTGTGAGCAGGACTTCCACATTCTCACTGTATTCTCTTTTGCTGTCCAGCTCACACTGGTGTGGGAGAGAAGTTGCACAAATGCATCATTGGACTTAAAGTAGGGTTGCATATGTATCGGGGAAATGTCTCTTAAATCAAGGTGACACTGAGGTGACCACAAAAAATAGATCCAATTTTCAGCTATTATCATCTCATATGCACAATCACTGTGTGGCCCTGATTCATTCCTCATGAGCATAAGAAACATTAGTCATGACCTAATGTCAGAATGCTCTGTTTTACCAGTCTGCTTCATGTGTTTTGACATTAACAATGTTTTCCATCAGGCTTTTTTTAAATGAGAAACTCAAATTAAATTGGACAAGTGGTTATTGTTTTATGAATGGCTATGTTGACCTCTGGTTGTAAAAAATAATCGGCCCCTAATAAAGGGCCGAGAGGAACTTGTTCAATTATTGTTTGGCATAATCGAGTCTGGAGAAGAACGTTTCATGCCAGACTTCAACAGAAATGTCAGGGAATTCCAAACCCCACAAGCCAAAACAAATTTGCCTCTCACTCAATTGTAAAGCTAACCATGTCAATAAAGTTTACAATAGGTGATTAAAATGGGATGGGCTGTACCCAATAATTGAGAGGGGGAGTTTTTGAGCCTTTACTGCTTTATAATAAAAATCTGTGAACGTCAAAAGTTACTAGACAGTATTTCAGCCTTTATTTTAACTATGCAGTCGATGAAATGGACAGTAGTTATTTCCGTGGCCCATGGACAAGCTCTTGAGCCATATCACGCTGTGTGAGTGTATGCTGGTGCTCAGACTTGTTGCAGCTGGGTTCACTTTATAACCTCACTGCAGCGCAGTGGGCCAGGGCGGTAAAATGCATGTGAAAGATGGCATGGCTGTGCCAGGTGTTGCTACATGTAGTGTGTTGCTACATGTAGTGTAGTACACTGTGGGTGTGTGTGGCAGTTCATGTTCTTTATGTACTGTATTTTGGCCTATAGTTAGCCTACGTAAGCCTGGGTGTTAAACGGCTGCTAACGATTACATGCTTCAGGCAGGTGTTGTGCAGGGCGAAGCATTTTGCGACAGCTGTAAACAGCCATCAGGGATCGGGTCACTGTAATGTAATGGGCTCCTGCACAGGAGGGATTGAGCTCTGAGTGAAAAACAGCCCAGCCTGGAATTGCAGGCCTCAACAAATCCTCCCATTTGTAGGATGGGAAGGATTTACAGGACGGGACCCCAGGAAAGCCTGCTGTGATTCTGGATACAAAGTGGCCTCCTACATTTAACCCAGATGTCTAATGTAATGTTGTTAAGGTTTCAAATTGGTGCGATTGGTTGAGTTAACTAAAAAAGAATCACCTTGATAGGTTTCCTTCGACAAGAGAAGCTGATTGAAAACGTAAGACCTATTCAACAGGTTTCACCATGGAAGTCTATGTGACAAGATTTGCATTTTCCCCCACAGTGATTTTATAGAGTTACCATATGTTGTGTTGAAAATCTGCTGAGTATTTTCGCTGAGAGGTTTTCCAGCTCATGTTTTTGTCACCACATCTGTCTGCTCTTGTTTTTAATGTGTAAAAGCTGCGTCCATAATAAGCAGCAGGAAAACTACTGTAAACGAATCAGATAAAGCTCTTTGTTTCATAACACAAACTCAGATGCTAAAGTTTCCAGAAAGTTGAATGTTTGACATTTAAAAGCAGGTAGACAATACATTCTTACTGTTGTTATGGGGATTTTTTTTATTTATTACTTCCAAAAAAACAGTTTGTCCAAATAACACAAAGTTATAACAGTCACAAGACTAGCAAGTGGGGAAAAACTTGCTCTCAAGTGATTTTACTTTTATTCAGTCAAGTATCTTAGCTCTTTGAAAGAATTGAATATCTCAGGTTGACAGTTATTTCACCTGTGCAGGGCGTGCCACAGTTAGTTAGTTGTTTTATGCCCAACAGTAAAATCATGTGACATTTTCATCTCACACTTCCTCCTACAGTAAGCCTTTGGATGCTGGATGTAAAAGATGGAAAGACCCGGCAGCAGCATGACAGTCGGGCATGTGCAGATCTGTTGCTGCTTTCCTGTTAACTCTGCTGCAAAATCCTACATTACTAAGAATTACACCCCAGGACTTTAACTGACTGATCAGTCTACCAACAGCTGTCTGCAGCTGGCTGCTCCGCAGGTCCAAACTAGCAGCTGGTGGCAAGTGGCCTGCTCACGGACACCGTGGCAATTTTTCTTGTTGATTTTTCCTAGACACTTAAAATAGAGTTTGAACCGGTGTTTGCCTCATGTCCATTCATGGGCTTCATTGAGAGGTGCCACTTTTTTCGCCCCCTGCCTCACATTTCCCTCCTTGGCCTCATTGTGGCGACACAAGGTTCCCCCATGGTCTCCGCTCCCCCTGGTAACCACTTACTTGCAGCGTTCCCAGGCTCAAACTTGTGGCGTGGCTCCCAGATCTGTGCTGGGAGACAGACGGGTTTCTCAGGAGACGGAGCACAAATACAAGGATCCAAATAACTTAATCACCAGTGGGGCTATTAGACCCAGGCTCTTAGAAGCTTACCCTTGGGAGGGTATTTGTGTTTGGGGAAGGGCAGGGGTAGCTAGGGACTGGACAAGCAATGAAGGTGTTTGGGTGAACACAGATATTGTTCGTGTTCATTTGTGATAGGTCATGTCAAGGTATGGGCTGTTTCTGGTTAGCATAATGCAGGACTGGGATTTCCGGTCTCTGCTCACTGACCTCAAGTAGGAATAAATCCCACTTCTCCTTCTTACAGGAAATTTTAAACTGCTCTTATGTATCTAGTCACTCATTAGTTTGATTCTTTTAATTTTTTTTTTGTCTTTTTAGAGTTTATCCAGTGCTGATTTGAAATTAAGTCCTACATGGACAAAATCCAGGGAATCTAAACATTAAAATGCAGAATATCTGATCTATTTATTTGCAGATGAACTTAAGCATGTAAGACAAACTACAGCAATTAAGAGTGGCTATGGCTGGATCTTTTTTTTTTTTTTTCCTCCAAGACCTACAGCGTACATTATTCCTCAGTGTTTATGTGTCTCTGATGTGAACCCATTCCTCAAACATTGACACACTCCGTAAACACGTCCTTCTTCACGTATAGAACAGAGGTTTTGAAAGAAGCCCTTTTGACCTCTCACAGGATGTGGGCATAAATATTTTTAAGCAGAAGCTTGATCACATGCTCTCACAGGGGTTTTTGGAGCAGCGTTAAAGCCGTGATTTGTTGCAGAGGTGTCATTAACATCACGACATGTCTTGAACATGTTTATTTATTTTTCTGTCACTGGAGTTAACTGTCCCAGAGAGAATAACAAAGTAGATCCTACGTTAGATGTCAGGCTCCTCTTTATTTCTTCCATCTACTTTTGACCGACTTTTTATAGGATGTTTCTCTCTTTTTCTTCTTCTTCTTCTTCTTCTTCTTCTTCTTCTTCTCTGCCAGTGACAGATTTTCAGACTTCTTGTCTGCTTTCACATCTTGTTTTAAGAAGTTGCACAGTCTTGTTCAGGGTATCACATCCTGAATAAGAGTGAGTGGAAGCTGGTGCAAAAAACAGAAAAGATGTTAGAGATCAAGTGTTGAAGCAGCTGTAAATAGGAATAAGTGTGCATAACATACCTATCTAAGAATGCCTATTCCTTGTTGTTATTTTGTGCTTGCTGGTTTCTTCCTATTTATTTTCTAGAGAATCATTTAGATGTTTTCACAGTGACACGAAGTGAATGAAAAGCCTTTTTAAACCAAATACCCTTTAGAGCATAAATAAACTGGATGTCATGATTAACCTATGATGTACAGCTCAACAGGTGGCTCAGGCAATTCACCTCTTTCTCAAAATAATCGCCCCTTTCCTGTTTGGATAGGTGTCAAGTGGATCAAGGGTGAAATGGATGTCGTGACATGAAACGTTATTCTTGTGTCTTTGTTTCTGTGTCTCACCTCAGTCAAAGTTGTCCCAGAGACAGCAGCGCATGATAAAGAACCGTGAGTCAGCGTCCCTGTCTCGGAAGAAAAAGAAAGAGTACCTGCTCTCGCTGGAGGCCCGTCTGAAAGTGGCGCTGTCCGAGAATGAGGTGCTCAAGTGTGAGAATGGCAACCTGAAGAGGCAGCTGGAGGGCCTGCTGAGTGAGGTAAGAGTGTAGACGCTGCAGCTTTGCTGAGACCTCCACACTGATGAGGACGCCTGTGCACAGTCAAAATGCTTCAAGACTGAAAAGCAAATTTCATGAAGAATTTAACAAACAAAAATAAATCTATTTATAGCGTTACTGTTTAGCTGCTTTCACACATGCACTTAAGTCTGGAATGAATTGTGAACACATCTGACATGGTTTCTTTCTCCCCTGCAGAACACAGTACTTCAGACAACAGCGCCCAAGAGGAGAGCCGTGTGTCTCATGGTGGTTTTGGTGTTCCTCGTGCTTAATGTTGGACCGATGAGGTAAGCTCATGACTGTGAATGTCTCTATGCTTTTAAGTGCCCTACCCCATAACATTGTTTATTGTTCAAAGGCGTAAATTCAGTGTAAAAGCAGATCCTGTAGTTTTGAGGAAGATAACTGGCAACAGCAATATATTACGAATGCAAAAAGCGTAAGATTACTGAAGGAAAAGAAATGGGAAGCCCCATGACTCACTGTGGGAATTACTGCTCTCATGTAAAACACAAAAATGTTTATTGAAAACAGTACAGAACATTTCCTATTGCAGCAACATGTTCTTATTTTTCCTCAGAACAGAACCTCTCTTCTGCATTAACTAACATATTGGCCTAATAATAAAACATGACAGTAACTCCTTCTTTTTCTCACCAACTTGTTAGCTTGTAATAATAAGTTAAGGTTAAATAAAGTTATGTGAAAGTACACTTGGGAAAACGAGCTTGATTACACCATGCAGGGATTGTGTAATTCCAAAAACGCACGCTCCAACAGTCTCCCTCCAAGTATAACGGCAGATTCTCTGTTCTCATGTTGTAAAAATGTTTGTTTTTTTCCTGGAAATAACTTTTTCTTCAAGGATGCAAGCATCTACTCTTGGACTTGATGACTCTGTGCTGGGAATGTGTTCTTTCAGTCGTTCTCTGGAGCTTAAATATGAAAAAGATTCTTAAGAACCACGGAAGAGTTTGCTTTTGTGATTCACAGTAGCTAAACTCAGTGTGTGTGTGTGTGTGTGTGTGCGCGCTGTACCTGTGCTCTCATCTGTGTGTTTTGTGTTCGGCCTCTCCTTTGGAATGTAAAATATGCCCGCTTTTGAGGTCAGATCCTTTGAAATGAAATGCCACTCAGTGCAGTAATGTTGTTGAAAGAGACTGTGTATTTTTGCATGTGTGTGCCCCAGCGTGCTTTCGGTTATTCAGTCTAGATCGGAGTTCAGATTCTGCTGCTTGGCTAAAAACGGAAAAAATCCCACTGTGCACAGGATGTGGCCCAAATGGAATTCAGTGGACATCTCAATCCACTATCAAGTTGTTGGGATTTTCTGTGTTTCCTCCGGCCTGAGTGTCCTGATTTTACCTCAACTGTCTCCTCTCCCTTAACCTGTCTTGTTGTTTCATTAGTTTGTTCCAGGGTGGTCCGGGCTCCAAGCACGAAGTTGTTTCCATGCAGCACAGCGGCCGACACCTGCTGGGTGTATCCCCGGAGGCAGAGACGAATGTCGTGATGGGCCCCGAGCCCCTCGACGGCAGCCTCTCTGAGATGGCCGACAGGTAATGACCTCAACCCCCACAAAGCCTTTCACAACACTATGTGTAACCAGGATGCACCTGTGCCTGCACAGTCTGACTAGTACAGCTCATTACAGCACGTGTAAACACATGCGCCAGCCGATTACCAACTCTGTCCAAACGTCTACCTTTCGAGCGCTTCCAGGCCCCTGGCTAGTTGGCCAGCAGTTTGTGCTTTGAGTAACAAGGTGGGAAATTAGGGTCAGGCCTTGTTTGACATCCAGTCCTATATTGTCAGAACAGTTTATTTTTCTAAAGGGTTATATATTTATCTTTCTTTAAATACACTAGAGGCCCAGCAGTCTCATTTGTAAATTGCATAAATAACACTCTTGTTTGGTACATTACCTGCACCCACATGTCCTGAAAATGATGTTTTGTACGGTCAGTGTCTGATGTCTGCATGGCGTTGCCAGTCTGTGTCGTGTCAGATCTCTCTGTAGGGTATGTCACATGTTAATGTGAAACATTCATCTGTAGTATCAGGTTTCCCGGCACAATTAACCCAGCACAGGCAGGAAGGAACACCTTAGCTTATACAAAAGGCAAAATGTGGCCTAGAGGAGGACGCTGGGGTGAGATATGCAACCTAATCTTTGGGTTCCACCGAGCAGGAAGGTGTGTTTTGTAGGAAGGTTAAAATGGGCCCAGTTAGGGCTTAGTTAGAGTTATTATCAGGTGTCTGTGGTCTGACATATTGTCTCGCGGAACCATTTCCAGGACGTTTAGCGAAGGGAATGTGAGGCGAAGTTGGCGTCTTTTGGGCTCAGATCAGGGAGGCCCAGAGGGGGGATTACGTCGGTGGCAGACGTTTTTCCTAACAAGCCCCCTGCAGGTGGCTACGGGCTGTGGACAGTCTACATCACCACCTCAGGCTATATAATCATTCACTTCCACAAAGGTATAACAGTTTTAATTACCGTCACAGTAACTTGTGAGGGGGGAAAGTCATGCAATGTGCTGCGGACCCACAATATATGTAAACATACCTTATGGTAACAAGGCAGGCTTTTAAGCTGTCACCGTGCATAATCAGATGGGCTATGCCAAGGGTTGGGTTCATCAAAATGCCTAAAACTAAATGGTTGAAAGTGTGGCTGTATTTCAGAAGGACTCTGTGTAAAGAGAGGAACACGATGAACTCATTGAACCACCTGATAGACAGAGGGATGCAACATGTTTGACTGTTTGACACATCAGCCAGTAGTGAGGGCGTCCCTGCTCCCGGCAGTGGGGAAACTAATGATGATCAGTTTTGCTGTATTAAGCACTGAAACTAGTATTAAGTGTTGTAGTTGGGTTTGTTCTTATTTATTATGTGATTTTTGTATGTACATTTTTCAATTTTGCTCAAATTTATATTTCTATATTTAAGTTAAGTATAATTTAAAATGTTTAAAAGTGTTTAAAAAAAATTGCTCTTGTTGTGTAGTGTGTTGTGCCACTGTTATAAAAAAAATATTGATTTAGCACTGGTATTGAAAATATCCCAAACAATACACAACCCTATTACTGACTAGGACTACTTCTTCTCTGTAGCATGTTTCTGATGACTGTGAACATGATTTACTGCAGCATGTGGACATGTCATGTCATGTCTTAGTCAGCGTTTTTTGTGCTGCACATGTCTCATTAATAACCAATTAAAGAGATATAATTGGCCGCACATTGAAGCCACGCTGGAGTCTTGATCGCACTATTTTTGCTCCTCATAACCAAACCAAAAAAGGGCTTCACCTCTGTCTGAGGGCGTGCGGCCATGTTGGCACTGGGTTTGCATTCAAAGCATATTCTCAACATGTGGAATATATTTTCACCAGATTGCGATTAGAAATTGTTTCAGTCAATCCAGAGCATCTTAACAGGACCCCGTTCACTTATCACTCTTCCCCTGATTTAACAGCCTCTGTCTGCTCTTTATTCTGTTTCAGCTCTGAGGATAAGGCCCTGATGGTGGTTAAGGGTCCCATCTTTCTCAGACCCCCCCCACCCTGCCAGCCTCCTGTTAACAGGACCAAGTGCAAAGAGTAAGTTGTAAACTCTTAAATCCTGGCACAAAATCAACCACATCATATCTGAAATGTAAGACAACTCCCTGTGTTAACTTTGACTGGCAGGTTGGCCCATGAGCTGAGGGGTTGGGTCCACCGTCATGAAGTGCAGCAAACCAAATCCAGGCACATGAGTAACAGCAATCACAAACCCACCAGGACCATCCTGGTAAGTCAGAGCAGCACGGTTTGAAAAACAGGGAAACTAATCTAATGATCCAAGAAAATGAAAATGTTCAGAGTTGGCATCAAAGCCTAGAAACCAAACTTCCCTTTTACTTCAAACCATTGCGTTCAGGGTAGATCAGGTTTTTGGCAAACCTCTTTCTCTACCATAGATTCCACCTCTCCCTCGCTATCTCTCTCTCTCCCACCTTCTCTTTTTTGCCTCTCATTTCTCTTTATTGGGCTGAGTTTAATCCGACAGCCCTGAGAAAGTAAACACAACACTTAGAGGGGAGCTGTAGGATTAGTGCCCCCTGCTCTTTTTTTCCATTATTTTTTTTCTAATTCTGTCACACTGAGTCCAATCTACCAAGAGCTGCCCACTTAGTATAGACCCATTCCTCATGTGACTATAAAGAAAGGTACATGTTGGGTTGTGTTTACTTCTCACCTGTACTGAGATTTCTCTACAAACTTCATTGTATTTAAACATATAAACAAGATTTATACTAAAGAAGAACAAATGTGAACTTGAATTTCTGCTCATATGAATTATTCTTCATGTTCCTTTTCGTAGAGCAATGTTTGGCAAGTTTTGACAGATATCTGTCACCCTTCGATATGAAGAGAAAGAGTTTGAGACTTGAGATTTCAGTGATTTAATGTGTCGATGTTCTGATACAATGGTCACTTGTATTGTTTTGAGGGAGTCTTTGTTTGTGTTATGCAGCGTTACCAACAGTAAATCCTGCTCTTTCTCTAATTGTTACTCAATGTTGTTATAAAGCAATTATATTTAATTCTCTCTCTATGTTCCTAACAGAAAACAGAAAATAAGGAGGCTGCCCAGATTGTGACCGTTCAATACACAGAAACTACTGAGGAAAAGTAAGTTAAAGCCTGTTACACAGCATGCTAAGAGTAATGTCAGTTTCAAACAATTAAATAATTTGGCTCTTTTTTTTTTTGGGCCTCTTTTGTTTTTTAAAGCTGATTCAAGCATTTCTTAACAGCATGAGGGCAGACATACTGTAAATAACAGAACAAATTCACAGTAACTACTACTTGTGTGGTAAACTAAACACAGTGGTAAAGTGAAATGGTGAGGCGGTGGAGTTGCAGACTGGAATGTTTATTGTCAGCGGGTTCTACCGAAGTAGATGACCGCATGACTGGAGTTGTGTTTTTGCTTTGTCGATTACATCAAGCACCTGTAGACATAACAAACTGATGTGTTGCATTGTTTTGAAGTTGTTGTTTTTTTGGAGGATTACCTTTGTATACTGTATCAGAGGTTTTGGGGTCAGTAAGAACCTTTTCTACTTGACGGCACTCAGTTTTTGTCCCAGTTGTTTGTCTGACGATGAAACATCCAAATATACAAAACACAACAGGAAACGTCCTTTCAACAGTTGACGTCTGTGGGGCCACTGGTTTGCCAGAATAAAAATACACAGAAAATTCAAATTTCAAGCATGACACAAAACCTCAATTTTGGTTTCCATTCTCATGCATCTAATGTTTATAGAAGATTCTTTCTTTCTGTAAATTATGTATATTTATATATATTTTTATTACTTTGCTTTTTTCTTCTCACATGCTAATTTACAGTATAGACTGGATCACCCACTACTCTTGTTTAAGTTACTAGTTGTACAATTTTCTTTAGTTTGTTCAGTTTTTGTTTCTACCTGTATTTCTATTGACGTCTTCTATGTGTACACATACTTCTCACTCTGGATTATGGTTAAAGGGACAGACATGTCAAAATAGTGTAAGTGCTGACTTGCTGTGATACAAGTCTTATGATACAACTGTGAAAAAATGTAATCTGCATGAAAATTGCCAAACGTAATAAAGTTTTCTGGCAGAAAACATTGGTTATCACAACTTAATCAGAGACATATGTGTCCGTTTTGGAACACCCATGTCAATTTAATGAATTTTTTAGTGACTGATTTATTTATTATAATCTTATTATTCTTCTTCTCCCATCAGGAGTTCTGGCAGTGAGCTGCAGGTCTACTACGCCCCTCACCACACCTACAGTGACTTCTTTGACGAGATCAACCGTCGGGGCGACACTTTCTACGTGGTGTCTTTCCGCAGGGTAAGGTTTCAATTTAACACAGATTTGAGCGGAGAAACTGACACTGGTCTCTGCAGGAAATTGTGCCAGTGGGGAAATGGATCACAATAAGTAAAACTAGAGATTTCAAGGGGAAATTTTTACAGCTCAACACTAATCAAATTTCATTCAATTTTTGTCCATCACAAGATTTCCTTATGAATCATAAATTATGCGTAATAGGTCTTTTTCGTCACAGAACAAATGAATTTCAGAGGAAATTGCAGGATGGGCGAAGGGATGCAATGCACATGGCCAGGGGTGTAACTAACCCTTTTCAGTCCAGTTTCCTTGGTTCATTTGTAATCATCAAGACCATGTTTTGGATTTTTAGGCGTCACCATGTGTTAATGTTAATCTCTTTGGTCTTTATTCATTTGACCACTTTTTCCACATTTGAAACTTGAAGCCCGTGTTTAAGCCTTTTCTTTCTTGATATGATTAATTCTTGGACATAATATTCAGACAGTTTTTTAGGAGTTTTGGTTTGTTGAAGAACGTTTCTTCACAAAAACATATATAATACATATTCATTTTTTAGAGCTTTCAGCACATTTCAAGTGCTATCCAAACAAAAAGAATTCAAATTTGCTGTGTTCTTTTTTCCCATTTGTTTTTGATAGAGTCCTGTATGGGTTTGATTATTATAATTGAGTATTGTCACGAAGTGTAGAAAGAAGCAAAATAAGTTCACCAAAAACTGCTAGCCAACCAAATTCTGTAGTATCTATTACCGATAACACAGAAGATGTGTCTCTTACAAAACAGTTCCAAAGAGCTGGAGAAAGTATTTTTTAATATCACATTAAAAAAAAATCTGTGGGCAATGTTAAGCTTTTAAACCCTCAGGATTACTCAGTGGGTCGGGAGTTTTGAAACATGTGGTCAAAGATCAAGTCCCCTTGTCACTAAACAAGTGACAAAAGTCTTGCTCTGTTGGCATGGTGACAGCAGGGACAATGGCACTAATGGTGAACCTGATCCGAGGGCCTCTACAGGTCAAGTGGCTGCCTTTCACTTTCAAGCAGCTTTGTGTTGTGAAGGAGCAGCGAGGCTCTATAAGTTCATCTAAAATAAAAGTTATATCAAAGTTTGTATTTTAGAATTCAAACTAAATCACAGGGGAAAAAACTTTTTGACAGTTCAAACAAACTGATTAATTGTAATTCCACTATTATTAATCAACAACTGCTAAGAAGGATAAGATCACAGAGCTGCAAATAATGACCATTTTCATTTCCTTAAATCAGTCAATCATTTTCTGCATTTATTGATAAACCATTTAATTGGTAAAAATTGGGAAATTGGGAAAAACCAATACCTGTCATCAACTAACAGCCCAGAAAACTAAAGATATTCTGTCAAGATTCAATTTTAAGAAAATGTTACAACACAATGTTTTTGATTTAAAAAAACATATAGAATTAATTGGTTATCTAAATAGATTTTCTTTGGTTAATTAATTGTTAACTTTATGGTTAGCTCTATGGGGATATAGTAATTATTCTGACTTTCAGTAATTCTATTCATTTTACTTAACATTCACTTTACCGCATGTCTGCTCTTTTTGATGTGATTATCATTGTAATTAGGTTTTTATTTGAACTTTGAACTTATGTAACTCAGAAGCACTAACATAATAAGACTCAATCTGTGTAAAGAGCATCAATCACTGGCCTTTTATTTAGCGCAACCTTTTTCATTTTTGCAGACACTTCATTTGCTTGTGTTTTGTTTCCTGGGTTTCAGGGTGTGATTGTGTGTCTGAATAAGTGGGTGTGCTTTTGTTTTTTTGTTCCAGTCAGTATGATGTTATCACACGACTGCCAAAACTCTGGATTAAATTTGGAATTTGCTAAGATTTTAAAACAAATCACCACCAATTTTGACTTTTCCCCTCTGTGCAAAAAAAAAAAAAAAATTTCATAGAGTTCATAATGTCCTGTTGTCACCTCTGCCAGTAGTTGAAGTCACTCTCTTCAGCATGAAGCACACTCAGACGTGGTCATACAAAGGTCAAGGTTACTTTGATCCCTCAACAGATACTTTACAGGCTCTTTGTTTATCTGTGAAATGAGGTGAAGTGATGGAAAACATAACTCTGCCGCAGCTCTTACTCTACAACCGCAGCCCCGCCTCACTTCACGTGCTGTTTTAGCACCTGCGGCTTAGTGTAAGTGTGCATAGAGGTGTGGTGGTGGAAACACTGATGGCTTTCACTGTAGATTGGGTCCAATAGGGAACATGGAAAAATCACCTGTTGTCATGGCAGCTGCAGCTGTTGTGTCGGCTTGACAAGCGGCTGGCCCCCTGATGATTAGCAGTAATGTGGTTGGTGTTTTCCTGCCTCTCCAGGCAGAGTCAACTCACACACTCATTCATTTCAAGGGGTTATAATACTCCCTTTGCTGCCTTACAGACCCATGAGCACGTATAACACACAACAACCTGTATTTAGAAGAAGCACATCCCATTTCTGCAAGTCTTCAAGAGATTAGTATTAGAGCTCAACCACTTGCTGATTGGCCAGTATGAGTCTTTCATAGACATCAGTATCAGCGTTTATGTTTGCAATTTTAAAGTTGAATCTTCTGAATGAACGGTGCAGAAGAGATGACATTTATGTTTTCATTGTACGTAATAAAAATGTATTTTATATATATATTTAGGTTTTCCTTTTTTTAACAGTTATTTGTAATATATTTTATGTTTGAACTGGAAAATATCTAGCCTCAATACCATTAATGTGGGAGTTACCTGTCTCAATTTAGTCTTCTCAAATGGGCAATTTGTGTAAAATAGCAGCAGCTCTATTGTCACTTCATTGTTGATGAGTAATCCTGATCATTTAAGGGTTTTGGTCAATCATTTTTTAATTCCATTAAGTCCCTGTCTGTATTTAGTTTGTTGATCCTTTATTTCTCCAGTGATTCAAGCTTGTTTCAGTCTTTGGTTCTGGTTTAGAGTTTATTTAAGAGGCTTTGTTTTACTACTTTTTCCTGCCTGTTGCTTTGCCTCAAAACACACAACAGATGACTCAAGGCTTTCTTTTTGAATCTGTTCTTCGAGCCACAGTTCAACTCCGCCCTTAAGTGTTGTGTGGGTCGCGTGTGTGTTCGCACATCAGCATTCCTCTGTGCCGTAACTCCTCCTGAGAGGATGTGCTCAGAGAAAACCTTTCCTGACATTTTCTAACGAGATGCATAAAGGCACATTTTAATTGCACCAGGAATGAAGTATTTGCTTGTAAATGCCATTTTGATGTCTGATTTCAAGTGGATTAACAAGTTCAATAAGGGCTTCAAAATGCCAATGTATTGAAGTAGTGGTGGTTTTAATTGTTTAGGTGATGAGGCAAAACATGAGAGAAAGTCCTCAATTTTAATTTTTATGGAAATTATTGTCTTATGTCTTCTACCTTCCCCGATGACCCATGTGAGATGTTACGTAATCATCATTGGAAGCTCATCATCTGTTTAAAGTTCTGACTTGTGCTCCAAAGCTTGATCAACAACTGGCGAATGCACACAGCTGACTGTTTTATTTGCTTCCAAATAATTTGTATTTTCCATTTGATGACCCTTCTTTGTTCTCAGGATCATCTTCTACTTCCTGCCACCAACCACAATAAAGGGAGGCGACCCAAGATGTCTGTGGTGTTGCCAGCAATGAACATTAATGGTAAGTGCTGCAGCACAGACACAACAGTCGAGGAGTTTGATCATGAAAGTGAAGCTGGGAGCAGATTCAGAACTACACCTTCCCAACAGAATGCATTACAACCTAAACAGAGCACTTGAGCTTTTTAAGCCTAATTACTAGAGTTTATGTTTTTCTTTGGAGATTTTCTTTGCCAAAAAGTTTCTTTGACATCTGGCGTCTTGTTACTAAAGGATCTTTGCTCCTTCCCTCCCTCTGAGCCCTTTGTGGTTTCCGTGACCTTCATCTTCTTACTATACTTTCTGCTGCACAGACGCCAAAACAAAAATGTCGTCATTGTTTTTGGCTCTTTGTACTGAAAGTAAAATTGCGGCCTGAACATAAACTTGTATTTTTTTAGATGTATTAATATAAGATGTATTGATCTTTGTCATGTTAACATAATACACAAACAACAAGATACCCTATGCTAGCCTAAAATCACCTATATACCACAGATTTTATTAACAAGGACAAGCCCCCCCCCCCAGTAATAGCTTGTGTAATAGCTTGTGTTGCAATTACCCTCTGACTGAGTGGACGCGAGTGTACTTGAGACCTTATGTTTGATTTTCTGTGAACAGTGATTGGAGAGTTCTTGCCTTTTGTAGTGTTGCTAAGTGTCCTCTCCCACCTGCTAAATGTAGGTTTGTGGGTGTGTTACGTCAGACAGGAGTAGTTTAGCAGAGAAGTTATAATTTTGGAGTTATTACCCAGGACATATATTATTTTTGAGCTTTAGAACGGCCTCCATGGCATCACTTGGTCCTTGAACTCCAAAATATAATCTATAAAATAGAAGCAGTTTGGTTTGAGCACACGAGACAGACAGTTCACTGCGATTGTTGCACACAATGGCTGCCTGTGATTGATCAAAAAGTCAGATTACATAAATGCAAATAAAAACACATTCAGATTGTAGAGCAGGGACATACAGTGGCTCAAGGCTGCTTCATTTCCAACTTTTAAAAGAACAATTGCTGTCCATAGTTTGTCCGTGTGGGTGGTAATCAGGATATGCTTGGTTGCAGTTTGGGGGCGTGGTGCAGATCAGCCCATTTGAGAAGCACTCACCCTTGCTCTTGATAGCCTGTCCTCAAAAACCAACCCAAATATTTGAACACTGGTTAACACAGGGTACGCCTCAGTGTGGAGGATCCCAAGTGTGAAGGAAATAGAACTTAAGTATTTCCTACATCCATCAATCTTTCCGTCCATCTGTCCATCCATCTATCCATCCATCCATCCATTAGCTACACTGTTTATCCTTTCAGGGTGATAGGGGGGCTGGAGCCCAAGCGTTTCACTGCTTCTTATCTATACGTAGATAAGATAGAGTTATTTAAACATTCATTTAGTTATCAATTAAAAATAATCAAAATAACAAAGCGATTCTTTATTAGATATTTTCATAGAATAATAAAAAGAGAAATTTAAAATGATTTATAGCTTAGATGATGATGAAATGACTCAGCAAATCAAACCACTGTAGGAAAAGAAACTGCAGCTGGGAGCAGCTTATTGGAAACTAAATTTTCCTTTCAATTTAATTTTTGCATCAAGTTATTTATTTGTATTTTTAAACTAAATTTTGAAATTCTAATTATTAACATAATTATTGTTTTTGTAAATATATTTTTAATATAATGAATTAATTTATACTTTATTTGTAAAATCCTTTCATAATCCCTCTTTTTATTGTCCATTAAAATATCAAATAATACATTTCTTTGTTATGTATTCATTAAGACTTAAAATACTCCTAAATAAAACTAACAGTTGTTCGTTGATGACATTCGTTGTTACTATTTCCATGACACTTGTAGTCCTCCATACTGTTGTTCCCCCATGCAGGATTTATACACTTGACTACCATTGGCACATTTGTTGCCAAGTGGTTTTCTATGGATCATATAAGTTCACACATGTTCTTGATTTGAATGAGCTCATCGTACGTTTTCTCCATGGCCCCTCAGATCTGCTGGATTATCAATGTAGCATTTCAAAGTCTGGTCATCAGAGGATTCAGTGGAAAGAAATCTCATGTGTCTAAATAGTGCAGAGTTTATTAACAGGTGGCCTGGTTTTCACTGATTCTGCAGGACAGTGAACTGAGAGGAAACCCACCCAAGATGAACTGTTCATGTAGGGAGTTAGAAATTAGGAAAGCAGCCTGCTGTTGTTGGGCTGTTTTATCAGAAATCCTCTTGGCCTCCTGATGTCTCTCTACCTGTCCATCTGTGGCAAAGATTTGATTACTGTTTTAAGCAGCTGAGAGCAGTGAGTCAGTGGAATATGAGCCTCTTACTCAGCATGGAAGACATGGCCATTTAGAATTGCTTTTTTTTTTTCTGGGAGGGGGGTGTTAGAGATTAAGAGTGATGAAGGTAAACATTGTTCTTGGTTGGTCTTGTCAGGGTGGAATGTTGGGGTCTGTGCCAGTCAGATGGTCCATTGAAATATCAGCAAATAGTGAAATCCAAGACCTCCCTTTTAGCTAATTGTTGAAATGGCCAAACAAAGATGGCATTCAGGGAAAGATATCAGGTCTGGAGTGATTCCCAAGAAAGAGGTCTTCCATTTGCATGATCTGACATGGATGCTCGCTGTCCGCCTCAAGCCTTAAAGTGTTTGTATCTAATCATGTGGAGTTTTTTATAACTCTTTTACACCAAAATTATTGTGTATATATGTTTGTTAATGCAGGTAAACCAGCTTCAAAAGGCAAATTACTTCTTTCCCAGTGCCAGTAGAGGAGATTGCCTCTTTGTTTTTCCCCCCGCTGAATCATGTTCGATGCCATGAACACACCAAATTTGGTGGTGCTCTCTCACTTTGCTGTCTTGCCAAATTTGTGTGTTATCCTGGGTTTACATCACTGCCAAACTAAGCCAGAGCTGATAAAAACCTGTGTCTCCTGTAGACAGTCTACAGTCCACACAGGTTTTGACTCTGGAGTGAATGCTGATTGTATCCATTGCAGACAAAAACATGATGTTACTGGGTTTTCGACCAGTGGAAAAGGGGCTTCCTCCAAGTATGTCCTCAAACTATCGTTAAAGCACAAGCCAACTAATGTTGACAAAGAAAGGACGACTTTGATTCTCTATAAATAGAAAAACATGCATAGTCGTCCCCTCCATCAGATACGAAACCCCATGTGTCTAACAGATGACAGCATTTAAGTAGCCTTTTAGATTTATGTTGTCTCTGTTTGAAACTTGAAGTGATAAAGTGCAAATGTACACAATTTAGCAGAGTGGGACCGTTAGAAAAGCAGAAACACTGTCCTGTTTCTGCAGCCTGATTGCTTGACAGTGGAGGATAATTCTTTCCAGCTCCCTGTTACTGCACTCCTTTAGGAATGCCTTCCTTCTCCAGTCACTAAATGGTTTGCATCTGGAGGAGGTGGATTGACTTTGCTAATCTGGAGCGATCGTTTGGTCTGTCTCAGTCAATAATCAAACATCCAAGATCGAGACTTTGATGTAAGCCGTCGTCTGTTTCACTCTCGCTGCATGTCCACGGTTCAGGGGGTTCTGTTGAAGTTACTTGACCTTGACCTCCTACATTCTCCCTGAAAAGCGTACATGGTTGAGCAGTGGCTCTTTATATGGACTGAAGGGTGTGTTTATTTAATGATCCTCTGAGTTTGAAAGCAGCTCCATCAAGTGGAAGGGACATGTTTGGAGGAGAGGAATGTTTTGCAGATGACATCATTTACAGGTGGATCGACTGTGGGACTGCAGTCTATTTTTACTGCGCTGAGATTGTGCATGTGCACTGTTGCTAACAGGCAGCTTTCACTGCGGGTTCAAGGTAGAGCTCCACTCTGCTGAAGGAGTTGGGGATCAGATTTTCCTACTCCTCTAATCTAAACAGAACATCCCCACCCGTCCCCTGAAACAGTGCACTTTCACCAAACCAAATGTTTAGCCCTTGCTATCCTCAAATATTCAAAATAAACTTCCAGTCTGTGAAACTTTTAATCATTTGCCTCAGTTACTTAAGTCTTTATATTTAAAGTTTAGCATTAGCCATGCAAGCTGCATTGTTCAGTTGATAGAAATATCAATTGGTTAGTCATTGGCTTAACACTTTGATCATGACTATAGAATGTATATAAAAATGGACGTAGACTCCAAGTCCAGAAAGTGAAGCCAAGCGTTAGTAAAAATTTGTTTGGAGTTTGTTTCTTTAATACGATGTTCATTTTATAGATAATGTTCCCATTTATAGTCAAATAGATAGAGATCCAATGAGTGCAGGTCACAGGTGTAGGTGGGTATTTGTGCCCTCCAGCTCTCAGTCTGGCTCACTCCTACTTCCGAGATGGCACCGGCTAAAATTCCAAACTTAAAACCTTAAAATCAAAACGGCAGCTCTCAAACTAATGGGTGACTTTTCTGTGGGTTCTCATTCCGACAGAAAATCTCAGCAACTCTGAATGATGAGAGTAAACTCCTTTTTCCTAATCTTAATTTAATGACCAGATAACTGCAAAACAAATGACACATTACATAAGCATCATGTGTAGTGTGAATGTAAATGTAACCATGCTACTAGGCTAAACTAAGATGGTGAATATTGTAAGCGTTGTGAGCATGTTAGTGTGTTGACATTAGCTTAAAGCACAGCCTCACATTCCTGCTATGGTAAATCATTGTTTTATTGTTCCCTATTGGCATTTCCATAATATTTTATATAAGTTTCATTGTCTTGTCTTTAAAGGTGAGCATATTGTTTGTATTTTCAGAATAAATGAAATTCTGATAATTGGCTGTATGGGTAGGTTTTGGAGGTTATGTGTTTAATTTGCTCAATTGACATCCAATTAGACTCTAAATAATTGTTTACTGAACCAAAACATGTCTTTTAATTCTTTGTTTATATTTAATGATCGAATGTCTCTTTCTCATGTGAAAAGAAAAAAAACACTTCCTCAGAATCTGTGCCAGTCTGGCAGCCACCATTCTCCCAAGATGCACTCTCAGGTTTCCTCAGATGCATCCGTTGCCAGACATCAGGCTTTTATCAGCACACACCCGCTCACTGTGTCGCTGACACTTTCTGGAACAACTCCAGATGGCACCAGTAAAAGGGGGAAGGAGACCACGCGGAGCAGGATGGTAGATTTGGCAGCTGCTTCAAAGAGCTGCTGTTTGAAGTTGGGCCTCGTGGCTGTTTGTTTGTGTGCTTCCTCTAACGCTGCTCAGGCCTCGAGAGCAGTTTGCTGAATAAAAGTTAGACAGTTTGGTAATTTGTTGAAGGAAGGATGTTAACAATGAGGATGTTAACAATGAGGGGAATTCAATTTGAGTCTTGGATAATTTTGAGATTTCGGCCCAAAATTTACGGTGTACTTATGTTGTAATCGTTGCGCATTTACAAAATAATTATGGGGCACGCAACCGCATTAAAGGGAAACAGAACACGAAGTCTCTGAGTTGAGAGTCAACAACTTTTTTTTACAAGCTGTAAACAAAGCAATGACTTTATAAAGTTGATATGGTGAAGGTGTAAGCAGTTACCTAGTACACATCCAGCTTATAAAGTGCTTGATTTGAAGTTGTGTTCAAAGGAGCTAGAAAGCGTGGCCAGGTAGAGGGATGTCTGGAATGCTCGATTTCGCCCGGGTACCCCCACAACCCAAGCCTGGGTATGCATAAGACGATGGATGGATGGATGGATATATGAGTTTGATTCAACACAACCAAATGGCACTGGCTCTTTTTGGTACTTCTATGTGATATTTCATTGAAATTAGTTCAGTGGCTGCATTGGCACGTGAGCGTCGTGAATAAGGAGACTTGAGGCCTCTTGCAGCGACCACAGGTTCAACCCGGCCCTTTGCTGTGTGACTTTCCAAATTCCTTCTCCACATTTCACACTTGCTGTCTTGTCAATAAAGACAAATGCCCCAAAACATTAGGAAATTAGCTAAGTGGTTCTATGTCAGAGCTGTTTAATTTGCACTAAACAGAATCATCCCAGGCTTGACTCTGCAATAATGAAAGGACCTTGAACTGAAAGAGAAGAAAAGTATTTATGATCTCATCAAGTGAGGTTTGACATGGAAATAGCGTGACTGGGAGTTAAATCCAAACCCAGGAGATGTCTGTTGAATCACAGAAAAGAAAATCCAAAAAGTTCCAGTTTCACTGCAGGTGCAAAAAGAGGAAGTTGAGCCTCAGATGAAGTCATACATATGCAGCCTTACGTCTACTGAGCGCCTCACGATGTGAGCGTCCGTGGATTCTTCTGGCTGTGGAAGGAGCTGTCGTATACTCTGCTGCTAAAATATACGTCCATGGAAGTAGTTCAGACGGGCAGAAGATGCTGATGTGTTGCACAGGTGTCTCTGGAAAAACGGCTGCAGCTTTTAAACAACTTGCAGCGCTCAGGCATTTTAAGATGCTTACTGCTCCATTTCTGGGTCATGTAAGGATGCACTAAAAATGAATGAGCTGTTTGTTATCCACATGGGGAGCTGCTTTCAATATTTTCCTTTCGTTGTTTGTATTATATCACTGTTTGTATTATATCACGTAATAATGGAACAGGAATTAAACTAAAGTGAGTAAATAATTGAATACATAACCTCATCTGTCAACATAATATTAAATAATCAACTTGATTTATATAACACATTTCATAACACAGTTATGAGGTGCTGTGGCAAACGATAGGAAACAATTCAAAACAATTGTGAAAATCACACAGCATGAGAGCATAAATATATAATTGAACATGTACAGATGAGAAAATAATAATTTCTAAAAAAAATTTTTAAATATGATTAAAGAAGTTGGTGAGAGCAGAACATGACTTGCACCTGATGCTGCTCCACATCATCAAACTTTTTAAATTGTTTTGATTGAGAGTGACCAAAGTTTCATATTGTACCTTCGATGTAAATACATGAGGAATCCATCCTTCAGCATGTTGATCGTAACTGTCTCCAGCAAAGACTTTTACAAGTGTCCACTTTAAAGGCTGTTCTTCTTCCAGGCAAAGTAAAAGCCAGGCTGTGGGAGACCACAAGCCATGAAGCATTCATTGTCTCAAGGCCAGCGTCTTTTTCCAAACTTGAATTTCCCAAGATAAAGCCAGAGCACAGTAATGGCTTGTTTGTACATCAAACAGCATAATGACCGTTAAAATGAAAAATTTCAAAACATTTAATCATTGATAACAACAATCTTTGTGTTTATCATCATGCTGAACACCATCTGCAGGCTCTGTTTGGTTTTTTCCTGACTCATCAGCATCGATCGCTGTCAGAGTTTCCTCTTTCCCTCTCTGAACTCAACAAAAAAAAAAGCCTGAAGGAACCTGACTCATCATCAGTGATCGCACTCTGTCTTTCTCCCCCCCACTCGTGCCAGACTTTGCTTCTCCCAAATGTGCATGTCCTGCTCTTGGTTAGCGTTGTTTTGTTTATCTCCATGTCAGAGAAATCCCATATGTGACTCACCTCTGGACTCCATCTGTAATCAAGCCTCCACTCATAATCGCTGCGGTCCCCCCCCCCCATTCTGCCTCAAACAATACTCCTTTATGCTCCCATAATACTGTCCTATCATGTCTCTTTGCTGCACGCATCATTTAAAAACTTGTTAGTGAGAAATATGATGTGGAGTCTGTTTTTGTCTTGTTTTAAATCTTTTGCTGTGATACGAATCCACGGCGCGTAGAAGCAAATAAAAACTGGAACAGGAATGGCTCAGTAGAGCGTATACCTCTGAGAAGGCCCAACACTCCCATTATATTCAATCAAGCTGCACCACATTGCACACATTGATATATCCTTACTCTAAGTATACCTAAAGATGTTATTTTTTCCTTCAACCCCCATGAATTACACCTTGAGAAATATATGACATTTTCAAAGATCTTCTAACTCTCCCAACTTTTTCACAATTTAAAATCACTTTCAAACATTCAAAATCTTGGATCTGCCCCCATGTTCCACCCTTCCACCAAGTTTCATGGAAATCCGTTCAGTAGTTTTTGCCCAATCCTGCAGACAAACAAACACAGAAGCAAAGGGACAGGGGTAAAACCTTCTTTATTTATTCATGTGTTGATGCATCCACGAGTACGACTCTTCTCTTCTTCCTGCTATCACAGACAGCGTCATCGGGGACAAAGAGTTCGAGGTGATGATGCAGATCGACTGTGAGGTGACGGACACCAGGATCCTCCACATCAGGTCTTCAACCATCCCGCCTGTGCTGCGGGTCAACCGCACAGAAACGTTTTACCATCACTCCGCGACCAACAACCAGGCCACGCCTCCTGTCGGCGTGCTCATGGGGTCTGCCTAGGACCACCATCGGCACCTGCGTTATTTCTAACAATTCAACAAATACGCAGAAACACAAACACGAGATAAAACCTCAGTTTTTGGTTTTTGGTTGATGGATATTTTTGAATAATTCTGGTGTGTTACCACTGACTTTATGTTTGTGCTTAGATGTGAATGAATGTGCTCTGCAGAAACCCCTCATCCTTAGGTAGCTTGAAGGCAGTACTTTATTTGGACCGATTTCCAGAGGTAGTCTGTAATAGGGTCCAAGCAGACGCTCTCCCCGTGACCCCAGATGTCTCGCATAAGGAAATTGCTTAGCGGTAGGGGGCAGAGCATTGAACCTTGAATCACCCCATCATAACAAAAATACTTACCATAGCAGCTCTTCTGAAGTCTGTTCTACTTTCTCCTCTTAATTTCAGGACAGAGAAAACACATTGATGTAAAGCAGGTTTACTTAGAAGACAAGTCCGAAGAATACATCTGTGATATCAATGTTCAGAAGCACAACAACGTCTGTGTTTATACCTCGGCTAAAGATGGATTCCTGCAATCATCTCTCTTACTCACGTTTGGTCTTTGTGACTCTCCAAATAATGTCAATTTATTTGTGAAATAGTAAGAGATGTCAGATTAGTAACACGTGGCACCAGAGGCAATCAGTAACGAACCACAAACTGCTATTTGTTAGTTTCTCTTTTTAACAACATATAGATGAAGAATTCCACTTTTTAATTTTTAGTCTTTGCACTGTGCTTCACTTATATTGATGAACAGATTCAGATACTATACATATTTATTTCATTATTATGTAACAGTAATTGTCCAGGATTTATTTTTATTTTCTTCCTCAGTCTTATTAATTGTGGGAACGTTTTATTCTAACCGAACAAAGAAAAGCTAAAGACATATTGTAAATAAAACTATAAACGGTGGAAATCGAATGTATATTAAATTTAGATAGAGGGAGTTGGGAAGTGTCAGTTCGGTGGACATGTAGAACTTTTTTACTGAAAATTTGATAATCCTCAAATTTGAAATTGCCACTAAAAAGCCAGCATTTGTCTTATTTTATTTATATTTTTTTATAAATAACCACTAGTAAAAAAAACGAAGACTTTTCCGTCCATGGACTGAATTGCAATTTTATTTGGTGCACTAGTAAACAATTGCACTGTTAAAGCAGCGTCTGGGCTCGTCAACTCTGACATTAAATGCCTTATTTTTGTATGTCCACCAACTTGTTTTGACTACCTTTAGGTTGGGGTAACATTGAAGTAAATTAAGTTGAAGAAATTCTATACAATCAGAATTAGTTAAAATATTCCTGGTCAGTTTCTCTATGTTTAGATAAAACAACATGCTTTAGTTCTGTGACTTTTAGCTACATGATTGTACAGATGGTTATGCTTCAGCTCAACAGATGCCCATGAAACTTGTCCAGGAAAAAAAACTTGTGTTGTTTTAAGACCAGATCTTCTGTGTATGTGTGATTTCTGTTTTTTCCCTTTTTGTCTTCAAAAATATATACGATTTTCCACTTTGTTTTTATTGCACCAAGACAGAACTAAAGGAGAGAACAAGAGTACAATTCAAAAACTTGTGAGGTTTAGTTTTTTGTATTTTATTATGTGTGTAAACCAAAATAAACACTGGATTTTCTCTAACTATACCTGTGTGTCCTTCTTTTGGGCTCTTCGGGGAAATCCTGCGTTATTACATTTTTTCGTCCAACAATATATTGACTGTATTTTCGTAAATTACAGGCTTGAACAGCCCTTCTTTGTACATCTTTATTTGTCTTTTCCTGCCTTGCTGTCTTGAATCTATCTTCAGTCCTTCAGTGGGATGAACACCCACATGCTATAATCTAAACCACTTTAACAAACAAAGAAAAAAAGTTTATTTAGCATTTCTGAACTTTATTGCGGTCTCCTTAAAGCAGTCTGATACGGAGGGAGTAAGTGCTTTTCACAAGACAAAGAACCTGTGTCACATGATGCAAAGAAAAACGTGATATAGAGTAATGTATATAAAATAGAAACAAATGAATTTGGCCACAAACGTTTGGGGATTTGTTTGAAGAAAAAAACTTTGAAGAATTATTTTTTTAGTGAATTGCTTTGACTCAAGTCATTGACTCATTCTGACACCTCTCTACATTCATGGATCTCAAAGGGCTCTGTCTTTTACAGCATTACAGTAAATACAGTTGAACTTGATGTGTTGACTGAGGCAAATTTTTCATCTATTTCAGGTAAAACTTAAAACATTCTTGATATGAACAAAACAATTGAATCACATTATACTGAAGTGTATACAGCGGGGTTCAAACGTGTGTCTTGGACCCTATTGTATTTACATTTGGCCCCCATCTGTTTCCTCACTGAAGGCCATGTGGACTGATCTACAATCCATTCAAATCATAGAATTCAATTTAAAAATAACTTTAAAACCCTTACTAAGGGTCTACATAAGCAAACTTAATGTTGTACGTGACTTGGTGTCCATTGTCCCATGCATACAACATGCCCTCTTTGGGATTGTAGTCAATCTGCGTGGTGTAGGTGTAGTTGTTGATGAAGGGCATTCTGGGAATCATCTGAGTGTTTGTGTGCGTGTCGAAGGCGTACTCCAGGTTGGCCTCTTTTTGGTTGTTGCTGTCAACAGCATAGAGGACGCCGCACACAATAAAGCAGTTGCCATAGCGGTTTCTCCTGAACCCAGTCCTCCAGGTGGTTTCCCTCTGCATGCTGAGATCCGAGGGGTTCAGTCGACTCAGGACGATCACTTCCTGCAAGAAGCCTTCGTCGTCTAGCGCCGGATAGATGATCCACAGGCCACTGTCATCCACGGCAAAGTCGATGTCTGAGTGACTGCGCCACTCCCACGGCGACGACGACTCCTCAACCAGGGCATCGTGCAGCATGGTCCAGGAGGATACGTAGCGCTGACGCAGGTCATACTTGATGATGTCACGGGAGAAGGCACGGTTGTAATAGAAGGCTCCGTCGTAGACCACATGGCCTGTGCCGATCCAGTTGTAAGGAAGCTTGTAGGAGTTGGTGAAACGGCCTAGAAAGGATTAAGTAGAGTGGAGATTCATGAGATTTATTGAAACCAAAATGAACAACTGAGTGGAAGCTCCGACTGCTGGTTCTTACCTTGTTTAAAAACCTCCAGGTTGCGAAACTCTAGGAGATTGTTTCCATAAAAGAAGTTAGTAACATAAATTTTGTTATTGTCAGACTTCGGATCCTTCATCCATGCTCCCTCATTCCTGCCATAGGTGTTGTGAGTTACTGGCTCGGAGATCGTTGCCAAAGTGTCCTTACACTCCCCTGTAAAAACACAAAAAGACCGAGAGCAATGAGCGAGGATTAAGAAGCAGTCTAACATCGTCCAGACCTGCGTCAAAAGAGCCTGAAAATAATTACAGGCTTTTGTTTTGAACAGCTGGAATCAGGGTGAGGTTGTGACAGATGATAGGGCACTGAATTTACTCACAGAACGATTTCTTTTTTATACTCTTCGGACACGTTTTATGAAACTCTGAAAATAATGACTGCATGAGGTCAGTCTTTTCCATTGGGTGTTTCAAACTAGTTACAGCAAATCACAGGTTCTGTTTTCCTTAGGGGGGGGGGGCATTTTGTGTGCTCTTGCTAAGATTTTTTTGCCACACAAGCAGCATGGCTGGAGGGATGGATGGATTGCCAAGACATTTGGCCCAGATATCCACAATGCCTGCTGACTTTGGCAATCCTCGTACTTCTCCCATTGAGCACGATCATTGGGTTGATTTTAAATCGTCCGTAGTGTGGAAGCTAGAGTCTGCGAGGTAGCGCTCGGGGGATGGATGGAGCCACGATAATGAGGTCCTATCGATACATCCCCAGAATAATCGTGAATCAGTGTTTCACCCCGTTTTTATATTAAAACCAAACTTACTGGAGACTTTAACAAACATCTGTGTAATAAGAGCTACCTAAAATAAGAATAACAAAATAATGAATAATTAATTTACCAGATTTTATTGATGTTGATTCCTCCTGTCTTTGCATTTGTTCTTCTAATCCCTGTCTTTTTTTCTCCCCCTTGTCCTCCTCCCAGCTGATTTTGTATCTCTGCTTTACTTGGGGAGCCTGACTGGTGGTGGTGGTGGTGGTGCTGGTGGTGGTGGTGGTGGTGCTGGTGGTGGTGCTGGTGGCTGTAGAAGACATAGTCGTAGGGGTGGTGAATGGCTGAGTGGTCGGTCTCTGTGTAGTAGGAGGCAAAGTTGTATATGAGAAGGTGGATGTGGTTTCTTCCGCTGGTGTTGTGGTTGCAGCCTCCGTGGAAGTAGCTACTGTGGAAGACTCCGTGGGGTGCACTGGTGCTGAGGTCAGGGCGGCGTGGGTTGTGATGGAGATGGTGGAAGTTGACGCCTCTGTAGTTGGATTTGGTGAACGTGTGCTTGGAATAGCTACAGTGCTGCCTGGTACAGTTTGCATTTGCTCTTTCAGTTTCAGGGTAGATGTTTCCATCATGGTGGCTGCTGTTTTTCTTGCTAGTGGGATTTCCTTCGTGGTCGCTTTTTCAGAGGGGTGGGTTGTGCTTGTTGTGGTTTCAGTTGTTTCCTTGGCAGTGATGTTTGGACGGGTACTGGCCGGTTCATCCATCAAGGGATTTGGCGACTCAGTGACTCCAGCCGTGACTCTTTGGGTAGTCTGAGGTGTAGTTGCTGCGGTCCTGGTTTTTCGTGTGGCAGTGGATGGTGCAGACATGACACTTCTCCTCGTGGAGGTGACAATCGTTGCTTCTGCAGAGAGATGTGTTGTGGTTTCAAAGGTACCGAGGGACTCGTTTTGAACTTCTGACACAGTCTCCTTTGGTTTTGGTGATTGGCTGGTGTTCTCTGAACCATGCAAAGGAGGGGCTGTCTTTGGATGGAATGATCTTGATCCCGCCCTTGTTCTGGGGTCAGGGACTCTGAGCTGGAGAAGATTCTCCTCAATATAGAGGTTGTTTGGGCCTTCACCACTTGACCCATCATACTCTAAAACTGAAGAGAGAAGGGAAAATGTGTAGTTACAAATGTTTTTAACCTTATATAAAGATAAAAAGCTGATTGGTCAGTTGATTGATCTGTAAAGTAATGTTGCTAGCAGTCCTTGTACTCACAGTTCTCTCCTGGTTCCCCATCATCTGCCACCATTGGATCCGGCTCAGATTTATAAAAAGTCATTCCTCTGATGATCATGCCGTTGGGACCGACCTTCGCCACCTGAGAAGCCTCCTTGTTAGCCGGGTTTTTTGGGGTCACCTGCGGTTTGACCTCGATGATCTGAGCAGAACCATCTGTCTGCAGGAAGGACAAATCTGCCCCAATATACTTCTCCTCATACTTTTCCTGTTAGTGGACAGAAAGACAGGCAAAATTAAACCATGCGACAGGTGACACCAACAAATCTGGACCTCATTCTACATGAGAAAATGTTGAAACCAGGATACAGGGAGTGTCACAATTCTACGAAATATATTGAAAATATAATATGGACTGCACTTTGAGTACAAGCGCTGACAGGAAATGAAATAATCTTTGTGGTGATAAACATCAAATTGTGGAACATGGACATAAAATCTATTTTTTTTAATGTTAGGACATATTATTTTATTTCTCTGTTTAATGAGCTGTTGTGTACACTATGTGATATCACTACAACAGATGACAATAAAAACGCTGATGGGCTGTAAACAAACCAATTCATTATCTGAACCATTCTATTTGGAAGTACACACAAGAATGAGTATAACCAAATTGTAGGTATAATGATGATTTACTCTGAAGAAAACACACAACTATATCAAGAGCTGTAAGTCAAAGTTTAACCAAAGTCAGTCTGCAAACAGTGATTCATGTTAATATTTTCTTTAAGTTTCTTTAACTTAGTGAATCACTTGGATTAAGCTCAGGTCCACCCTCCACTATGCTGCACATGTGCTCCAGTTCATTTGGAAAATGTCATGGATGAGGCCCCGTGTTCCAGTCACTGGTCTGAGGTCTGAGGTCTGTTATCGTCCACTGGACAGCCGGACCTTCCAATGACCTCACTGACTCTTCACATTCTTGGTATTTATTCATGCAGAAAATGATTTTATGAAGGAATTTGCGTAAAGAATTATCAGCGCTCCTTTAGTTGAAGGAACATCAAGAGTTAATAACGCTTCAGCAGCGTTAAATTTGTTTCCTCCTTAAATTGAGTTAATTCAATCACAGCATTCATAACAGCTTTTAATGAAGAGGATCTGATCAGGACCAAATCACCATTTTACCACAAAATCGGCTTTTATAATCTTAGCTAAGCTGTTAATTCATTCAAGAATTACATTACAGGAACATACTGGTGCAGTTATTGTGTAGTTTGCAACTGACATAAAATGTATGTGGTAGCTTTTCGATTTTTTTGTATTATTATTGAATAGTTTGTGAAATTGTTGGTTTACGCGGGCAATTACGTCCCAGGCAAAATTAATGTGACAGTCACAGTAATCATTTGGTATTTGACATTTGAAATGCATTAATAGCTAGAATTATTTTTTTATATTCTGTGAAGTCACAGAATTTATGTAGTGGATAATATCTCAGGTCATGTTTATGTATTATTTAGAAGTACTAACAGCCTGTAACTGTCAACAGTTAGAACAGCATCTACTTTAAAAGTATTTGTTAAAGTTGGTTATCATATTTAACAACACTGGCTAAGTTATAACCCCAGTGAACCTGTTGAAGTATATCAAACGTATTTGTCTTTTGCATCACTAATTACCAAATAAATACAAAGTTAATGTTAAATCATTACACCTGTATTTCATGACACTAACTAAGGCAAATAATTACTTTAAGTACCACTAATGTGTTACTCTGTAATTATAGCACAGTAAAATAACCACCAGTGTTGAAACCTTTCCCTCTATGTTACTGACCCCTGCATGATGTAACTGATGAGATGTCACACTCACCTCTAGGCTCTGATAGGCTGCTGCTCCACTGACCTCATTGGGTTTCTTCTTGTCCTGATGGCGGTAAGGAGGAGGAGGTGGAGGAGGAAGAGCAGTGGTGGGTGGGCTCTCAGTCACATTTGCATCAATCGGAGGACTCCCCACCGGCTTCACCTCATCTGTGGTGTTGTTCACAGACACCACCTTCGTGCAGCCATGGACAAATGGAGACATTAACAGAAAGTGTACATGTCTTTTAAATAAAGTGGGCAGCACTCTTCAGTTGCCATAGTCACTGACAGGAGGAGGAGAAAAATAAAGTGGAGCATCTTCTATCTGAAGATGTGGGGGACCTACATCTGTTTACACAGTCGCATTATAGAGACTTGTCTTCCTTAAAAGGACAAAAAGCAAGTCCCCATAATGTAAATCATTACATTTTAAGGTGAAGACATGTTTTAAGGTTAGAGTTAGGTTACGGTTTTGGTTAGGATTAAGCCAGCAGTAACTTTGTCTCCAGAAAACCAATGTAGATCAATGCTATGGTTATGGAGACATGACTGTGTAAGTGTATGCGTGTGTGTGTCACTGTACCTTTTCAATGTGTTCCACGCGATCCAGTAGCTTATTGGTGATGGAGTGCAGCTTCAGCAGATCCATGCCATAGAAGGAACCCTCCAGCAGCTCCAGAATGGTGGACAACTAAAAATGATCAAGTGGAATCCATCAGAGGGGGTTTACCAAGACACAGGCTACCGAGCGTAAAATGCGCGTATCCAATCTCCTGGTCTCTGGTAATAATGAAAAAGAGGAGCTATCCTTCACTGAAGTTGATTAAACATGACATCCATGCCCCCAGTAATCCAAACCTCTTCAGAAAAATCACGCGGACCTGAGCAGCTTATTGGCACTGTTGTGTGTGTGTGGGACAATGGACAGGTTGGCACTTCACCTTGACATTCTCCTTCCCAGCTTCCCTGAGTTTTTTCAGCCTGAACTCTCCCTCGCACGGGTTGACCGCTGACGGAGGAGCGATGCAGGCGCACTTGCACGCGGGTCCAGATGTGATGGTCTCCACGGTGTAGAAGTCCTGCGCCGTGGCGCTGCCTTCCTCTATCCGCTGACAGGCGCTCCGGCTCAGGGGTCTGACAACACATTTACACCGACAGTCAGAGCCTTCCGAGAGGGCTTTCACTTTGTCATAATCACCCAGCAGCTACAAAGAGAAGAGCAAGCATGTATTTTCCACCACACTCAATCAGGATTGGACTTTTTTACGCATAAACATGATTGGTTGTGCGTAAAAGAAATTGTGCAGAGGAATGAAGACATGTGCTCCTACCTTAGAGAGGATGCTCTCCTGACCGTCTATCTCCTCTTGCAGACTGTCGTTCTGCTCCTCATCGCCCACATCGTGAGACCTGTGATCTGCAGCCAGGGTCTGTGGCGCTGCGAAGCTCCGCGGGTAGAACGCAGCGCACATCACGAAGACAAGGCACAACTTAAACATGTTGTGAAGCTCGCAGAGCGAAGGAAGCACAGGAGAAATGATGCTGCCGGTGTGCCAACCAAGGCAAAACCTGTCACCGCTTACAATTGAGCTTCCAGTGAAGTTTCATGGCTCCAGAAGCAGAGATGTGTGCATCCAAAATGTCACCAGACAAGAAGAATTACGCATCATAGCGTCCTTCATGTCTTCTTCATCACGTAGTAGAATGTGGGCTAATGCGTGCACCCTGTGAGAGAGCAGCCGGCATCTGGAGCTGGAGCAGCTCTGACAAGAGGCGGACCTGATCTCACTGAGGAGGTGGTGATCTGCTCTCAAATGCATCTCACACGTTCTGCAACTCATTCGTCGTTATGAGTTCGATTTGAAGTGGAAGTTTGGTTCTGATCTGATTTTTTTCCAGATTGTACTCGTTTCTTACGTCTGAAAATCATATTTCTTGGTTGAACATTTTTGCAGCCTGATGCACTTTCATTTGATGACTGATCAAGGCTGTTTCAACAGACTGCTCTCAAATGCAGTGTGTTGCTGACCTCTACCTGCAGCAATTCAACAACACATGCTTTAAATGAAATATGAAGCATTGTAGGAACTTGAGTTTATTTGTACTGTAAGGCACATTTCATTGTGTACTTGTTTCTCTCTGATGTGAGCATATATATATACAAACATTGCACATTAAATGTTTAAAGGCACATAGTGCCACGCATTTAGAGAATTACACAGAAAACTGTCATAAAAACAAATCCTGTGTTGTGAAATTAATAGTTGTTTTGTGTGTTAGACATAAACAAACAATAGTCTCTCATTCTATAACTTTTAACAATGACGCATTGCAGTGTAAAATCATCACAACCCCCACAATTACATCACACATCGCAGATTTTCTCTAATCACATTTAATCAAATATTAATAAAGTGCCACAGTGTTTTATCAAACCTTTTCAATGAATATCAGAAAATATCCCATAATTATCTTAAGTGTTTTATTCTTTCCCATGATGCCGTCACCTGAAGTGAGCTTCAATACAATAAGAAACCTTTTGGTATTTAAAACGACTGTACTGACCCCACAATGACCAGAGTTCTCCAGTGCCAGATCTGATAAGTTGCATTAGTTTTGTATTTTGATTTAAAGTTCAAACATAATTGATTATTTTCTAGCCCTGGCAGCCTTCATGTTCTATCCTGTCCTCTGCTGCTACCGGGAGGATAAGGTGAGAAATGCGGCTCCACAGTCCACCATACTTGTCAATGTCCATCCTGTCAAAAGACACAGGGTGGTCATGAGAGAGGAACTTCTTCTTGAGGTGGTCGTCCACCATCTCCTCCACAGCATTCAAATGCATTTTGGCAGGAATCTCCTCTTCCTCCTCCAGCAGCACTGTGAATATCAGAAAAGTCTCCTTGTAGGCAGCGTTCTCGTGGTCACAGTAGCGATAGAAAATGAGAGTGGAGCCTGGAGGCAGCTCCTCAAAGCGGTGAATGATGGCCACAGGTTTGTCCCCTTCGAAAGCGCTTTGCAGCTTGCGATCTATGTCCAGTTTGACCTGGTCGCTGTCCTGGCTGGCTGCGCTGGTTCCATTTATCTGCAGGACGGAGGCCTTGAGTGCAAAAGATAAGGAGGAGGCCAGGCCTTGGGCCAGGCAGTGTAGTGTCTTCTCTGCTCTGAGGCCAGCAGTCAGGATGAGACTCACTGGTGCTGTTGGGTGGGCTGTCTGGAGGTGCCTCTGCAGGTGGATCCTGCTCCTTTTCCAGACCTCCGCACGCTGATTAAGGAACTGAGCCTTCACTTTTTCCATTTGCCTGAGGAAGACGGCTACACTGTTTTCCTCAAGTGGAGTCTCAGAAGGGCTGGAGGGCGTCAGGTAAATGGCAAGACAAGCAGCTACTACAACAACTGCCACTGCTGTCAGAACCCAGAAATTCCCTATGGAAAGAAAGCACATGTTTGTCTTATATAGAGTAATTCACAAGTTTTTTATGGTTCTGATTATTGAGCATCAAATACTAACAATCATAGAGAAGGCATAATAATCATCCAGGGTTCTTGCACGAGATTTACAGTCAAGAAGATAAACAATAAGGAAATAGTCACAAGGTTACCTCGAAGAATCCCAGTGTCATCTGTAGCTGTGTGTTCAACACTCTCCACAGAAACAGACTTAATGGTTTCAACAGGTATTCCCCAGTTATGCGTCTCTTCCTCTGTGTCTTTCGTGTCCAACATTTCCGGTTCAGGGGAATCATGCTCTGGACTTCCTTCGTGATCTGAGCAGTGGGGGATAACAGGTTAACATAAACTTAAAAGAAACACAAACACAAACAAGATAAACAGACATGACACTTTACTGCCTGTTGTGTTAGAGTGGAACAAATAGAAGCTCAGCATTAGAAAAATGACAGAAAGAATAAAAGTCACACTCACCCCCTGCAGCTTCATTTGTTATGTCTTCATCCCGATGTGGTTGTACATCAGGTCCACCTGTGAATCCATCTACTTGGTCTGTTTTCACTGTATTCAGGGTCGGTGAGCTGGTCACGGGTGCTTTCTTCTCAGTGAGGTCTTCACCTGTAAAATGAGAATAGTTGATTTTCATGTCTATTCCAGATTTGACATATGGCCAGAACGATTTGTTTTTCTTTGTACATTTATTAAGTCAGTTACACAGGTTTCATTGCAACACCTCAAAACAGAAAACTAAAGTTTTTCTTCAACACCACATGGTTGTACATCCGGTCCACCTCGGTAGACCGGATGTACAGCACAAACACAGATGAATTCTTCTTTATAAAAGAGTATTTGACAGAAATCAAACAGATATCAACCTGATTACTTACTTTTACCATCCGCCTGCACTGTGGGCTGTTTGTTTGTGGATGCAGCAGCAAAAGCTCTTTCAACCAGGGTTGGTGTGGTTGTGTAAGGTGCTTTCAGCCCAGTGAGGTCTTCACCAATAAAATAAGAACAGTTAAACTTCCATAACAGCTCAATCATCAGTTAATTAATTAAACAAGTAATCTATTTACTTACTTTTACCATCAGCTGCTGCTGTTAGTTCACCAGTGTCGTCTTCAGTCCCTTCGTTTGTGGGGGCAGCTGCAGATGCACAATCATCTTAGGTGAACAGAGGCACATTTGATTAGTATAGTAGATACAGAAACACATTGGGTAAAGACACACTGACTGGATTACTATTCACCTGGCTTGATAACATTATCATCCGAGTCTTTCTTCACAGTCTTGTTTTCCCCATTTACCACATTTAAGGAATTTGTATCTTCTTTCGGTTTGTCTTCAACACCATGTGGTTGTACATCAGGTCCACCGGAGGATCCCTCTACTTGAACAGTCTGTCTTTCAACCAGGGTTGGTGAACTGGTTGTGTCAGGTGCTTTCTGCCCAGTGAGGTCTTCACCAATAAAATAAGAACAGTTAAACTTCCATAACAGCTCAATCATCAGTGTCTTATGATCATACTCTAAACAGGGTTTTAAAAAAGGAGCAATCAGCAACATGGCATTTGGCCAAGGCAAGTAGCTTCTTCTTCAACATATAACAAGTCAGTTACAAAATATTTCAAGGGTAACTATGGGTGAAAGATTGCACAATGGTTAACAACATTAGAAAACTACAGCATGGGCAAAGTAAAACGTAAAACAACTTTAAATGTGCATAACAGTCTTATGTGAGAGCAAAGGTAACATCCAATAATGGAAGAAAGTCACTATGGATTTCTCGTTGCTCATGAATTTTTCTTTAAGATAGGTTTTTTTGATGGAAATCAAACACTGATATGAATCTATTAACTTACTTTTACCATCAGCCGCTGCTGTTGGTTCACCAGTGTCGTCTTCAGTCTCTTCGTTTGTGGGTGCAGCTGCAGATGCACAATCATCTTAGGTGAGACAGAGGCACATTTGAATAGTATAGTAGATACAGAAACACATTGGGTTAAGACACACTAACTGGATTACTATTCACCTGGCTTGATTATGTTTTCATCCGAGTCTTTCTTCACGGTTTTGTTTTCCCCATTTACCACATTTAAGGAATTTGTATCGTCTTTCGGTTTGTCTGTGAGAGAAAGAAGAAAACTGTATTAGTTAACGACACTGATGTGAATGTTTTATAAATATACTTATAACATGGGGGTTACCTGTTTCAGTGATTAATTTGAGCTGCTGGGTGCTCTCTGTCTCCTGCCCTGCCATTTCTCTGAGTAGGGACACTTCACTCTCGCTGGTTGACTGGATGCTTCAGAGCTGCGAGACACAAGTGGAAGATTTCAACATTTAGTACAACTCCACTGATTCTCGTCACACGTCCAGAGTCCAGATGAATTTACGAGGGGAGCCTGACAAGCCAGGCTGACAAGACAACCTCACGTTTCCTATAACACCTTCTTCTCTAGTTATCAACTGAGAATCGTTTGAACACGGAGTTTTCTCTCCTGGTGTTTGCTAAAGTAACTTATTGGCTGACTAACCACTGAACTAGCTGAGCGAGCAGACAGTACGGAAACAGGAAAATAACTATCAAGCTAGCTGTGGGTTAGCTAACTTGCTAGCGGCTACCTGACAGACAATTATCAAAAGCTAGCCACCACTCAGCAAAGCTACACATGGGCAGCCCGTCATTAACGTAATAAAGCTACTTTTATTTGCCATGCCTTACCAGAGGAGCCACCGGTCACATTGCCGGGGAATATGACCCGTGCACCGTGTCCTTATCGTCTCTGTGTTCGTGTATCGCACTGACAGCGGGAGACAGCGCCACACCGCTCAGGCGGAACCATCTGCGTTGCTCTTGTTTCTACGGAGATCATTTCCGGTCGTCGGTGGCGTACGCTTTCAAAATCTCTCCCTCCACGATCACAGGAATATCCGTCGTGTTGTGTGATTAATGTTTATTTTGTGTGTGTGTCGCCCAGTTCAGCTGCAACCATAGATGGAACCCAAGGTTTCTGAAAGCAAGGCGTCTCAGGTCCTGAGGCGATCTACGCGGCAGTCATCCGCTAAAGGTGAGCACACGGTCCGCTGTGACAGCTAGTTAGCTTAGCCCGCTGAGCTAGCTAACTTCAGCCCATCAAAGTTTAACAACAACACCCATTGAATTTCTGCTCTGAGTCGCGGTAGCGGGTTTTATCGCGGTAGACTTTGGCTGTTTTTGTATTTTATTCGCCCAACAATGCTTCGGGACGCCCTCGTGTCAAAGTGTGTCTTCCTGTTTCCTCCGTAGCGCTGAGTTTTGAGCCGACCCCCAGGGGTCCGCTGAAGAGGACCAAGAGGAGCTCGGGGAAACCGGCTCCTCTCGCAGCAGTCAATGGGTCCGGAGATCACGAGGATAACTCTGAGGATGAAGGTGAGATGCTCCACTTGTGAATGACAATGACAGTGAATCCCCAGTGACGCTAACCCTGACCCTCCTCCATAGAGTCCCCGAGCAAGAAGAGCCGGCTGGAGGCTGAAGGGGCAGCGGGATCTGGATGTGGTAGTGATGATGATGATGATGATGATGATGGTGGGACTGAGATGGAAATCCAGGAGTCAGCTGGAGATATGAAGAATAATCAGGGCCAGGAAACTGTCTCCCTGAAGCAGGAATCCTCTCATGGCACTCATCCACCTAAACTCTACCCAGGTCAGGGCTCTGTCCAACTTTATTTTTTTTAACTTTATTTTTATATCACTCAACATGAATACACATTATTATTATTATTATCATAATGCCATGGCTTGGTTTAAAAAAACTCTCAACACCAAGTCCACTTTAATTACCCCCCCAATCTCAGCAGTCTAGATCTGGCCTGATGCATGCAGGTGCTTTTAAATACATTTCAATTTTACAATTGACATAGTTAGACATCTCTTATCTTTAGTATCACAGGGCTCAACAGCATCAGATCTGATCACAAGCAGTTTTATGATTTAATTTATTTAGGTTTTCCCTCTGTTTAAAACAGGAGATGTGAATTTAATCCCTCGTGTAGTGCTACACGAGTACCGCCAACCCCAAGTTGTAAATGAAGATGCAGAAACCAAAAGAGGTATGAAAATGCCATAAATTTATTCTACATGGTAAATACCATATTTAAGGTGAATACTACAGTTGTCCTTACCTGATTTGTTTGTGTTCAGTAAAACCATCAACCAAAGCACCAGCAGCCTCCGTGAAGTCAACCAGATCATTGGTCAACAGCCATGATGTGCCCACTACCAAGACCAGCATGGCCGAGTACAAGAGTAGAATGGAGGCCATTGCCAAAAGAGCTGGTATTTTTATTCAAGAAAATTACACTGAACACTCACTTTACATCTCTAGAAATTATCAAATTTCTACAGTAATTAATTCTTCCTCATCTTAAGATATTCCCACGGTTAACAACGTTACCCCAAGTGTTTATCCGTCATCAGAGAAATCCTTCTCAGTGCATCAACGTTTGAGGCACAATCCAATTCAAAAAGAATCTGTTAAGTCCAAGAAAAAAGGTATTGCACCTTTAACTGAATTTTACAGTCTTGACTACATCTAATGTGGCTGTGAAATGTATTTAAATTAGATTTTCTCTTGTAGAAGGGAAAAAGAAAGCAGATGTCATCAAGATAAGCTCCAGACATTCTTCTCGGGGTAATTATATTAACTTTGCACTCAAAGATACTTTTTACATTTTTCTTATGACATTAATATTTAAACTCAAACTAAATTTGTGTGAAATTGTGTCCTCAGGTTGCATGTGGTGTTTCTGGTGTTTGGTTGCCCTGGTGCTGCTCAGTTCTGTCGCCTTCCTGGCATACAAGAAATTCCCTGTCCTCAAAATGGTCACAGATCTAGGAGGGGATACATCCAGCGCTGCTGAGCCAGATGTGTTTGCTGATCAGTTGTCTCTTCTTGAGGCTCAATTCCCCAGTCAGCATCCAGTGTTGTGGAAAAGGAGCAAGATACATCTGGGGAAGCACCTCAGAACAGCACAGCCCACAGAGCCGGTGAGTCTAATTTTCACCGCTGGCCAAAGCGCTGAGAGGACGCTGCGCTGCCTCGCTCAGGGCCTGGCTTCGGCCTTCTCGTCTGTCATCAATACCTCCGTCCTCCAAATCGATGGAGCCAGCAAAGCCGGTCAGGACAGCGATGAAGTGAAGCTGGACATCGACAGCCAACTGAAAGAAGCCTTTGAAGGTGATAAACAAGTGGCAATCATTCATCGCTTTGAAGAGCTGCCTCCAGGCTCTACCCTCATTTTTTATCGCTACTGTGACCACGAGAGTGCTGCGTACAAGCGGGTGTTTTTGTTGTTTACTGTGCTGCTACCTGAGGATGAGGTTAGCAGTGAGCATAGTCTGAAGGACGTGGACGAGATGGTGCAAGACTATCTAAGGGAGAGGCTGGTGGTCTCCAACAGCCAAACTTCCTTCAATGAGATGGACAATAACAAGTACGGTGGACTGTGGAGCCGTATCTCGCATCTTGTTTTGCCTGTAGTGTCTGAGAAGGAAATAGAGAAGAGAGGATGCTCATAAACCAAGCTGGCTACTCAGAAAAAGTCAAGATACCACTTTGGACCAGCTTGATACTTCTTGGCACAGTGCAGGAGCTAGGAAACAAAAGTAAAATGGAAATATAATGTGTGTGCTGTGATAATTCACATATAGACTTGATTTGAAATGGTTGAAAATTGTATTAATCTCTCTGTCAGAGATAAAATTGTACTGCTGTCCAGTGTCTGATCAGTTTAACTGCTTCCAAGATGTCCGGCGCAGTTTTTAATTAAATGTGTGCAGGCTTTTCATTAGGACGAAACAATGGTGTTGCACCATCATTCCACTTCCAAGAGGGGAATTCAGTCAATATTCTCATGTAGATTTAACATATAACAAAATTTAAAGCACTTTCTTCAACTGATTTTCAATGAACATGTCCAATCCATAGACTGAATATAAAGATGGACAAAGTGTCTCCACTTCCTCCCACTAACCAGAAATGAAGACAAAATATCCCAGATACGAACGTGGCCATCTTGTGCATTTGGAGCTAAAGACTGTTCAGTTGCTCACAGGAGATGGAGCCGCTGTAGGACCCACCGATACACACTCTCAACCAATCATGAGTCAGTCTTTGCTGTCAATCAAGTCCATTATTATAGCATCAAAACAACTATTAAAACCAAACTTAATGAATGACAGAAAATGCAACATCTTTTAAATAAATCTAGTGTAGTTTGGCCTCACTTTAAGGAAGCTGTCCTGTAACCATCTTTGTAAACAGTCTATGGTCCATTCCAAAAGGGTTTCGGTTGAATGATGAATTGAAACCGGGTCCTTCTGTAAAAGTTTCATTTTCTGTAGAAATTCATATTTCTTGCTCCGTGCAAAATCTCTTAAACAACTGATGACATGCTCTATATTTCTGTTTAATGTGTGCATCGCTTCATTTAAATATCTTGTGCACACAACTGGATTGGATTTGCACTGAAAAGGTTTTTCATTAACTAGCTGTCAAATCAAGAGCACTGGGTTTTAAAAAGATAAATCTTTTATATCCTTTGTTTTTGGTGAATTTGTATATATGTCGTCTGACTTTTTTTTAGATTGGATATATATATATGTATATATGTTTTACCACTGAAATGTACTTATGTTGTAAAAACACACAGGTTCTGAGTTTATACAAATATTTTGACTGAATATCACAAAATGTGCCTTAAATACTGACATGGAGACAAATAGACTCATCAGTCATCTGACACCCTTTGAGGACAAGTTCAGAATCCAAACACGCTTTTTTGTTGATTTCTTTCTTTAATTTGTGGTAATTTGAATCAATGTGTTCTTTCTTGATATTACTCATTCCTCTTATGTTGTTATTCTGAGATGTTGCCCATATGAAGATCTGGATATTTTCAATAAAGACTATTTTGGTACCTGGAAGAGTTAATTGTCCAACCTGTTGTTGTCCTTAGTGTCTTTGGACATGTTTAGTTGAACATATAAAGTAAAAGTCATGAAGATCCTGAATCATCGTCTGTATTGTGCTGAAAATAGAGACGTTACATTCAGCGGCAGGATGAGTCATCAGCCTGAAGGTGGGCATAGGTTAAACATTCTCATTTCAAAAGAATCATACAAATAAATGATTGACAAATCGCGTCCAGACAGTAACACGACTGTGCAAAGACCTGCAGACATGTTGCTTTTAAAATACACAATAACGCAGAAAACAACTCTGATTTACTAGTGACCTCTTTCTCATTGCAGTGGGTCCAGAACAAGGGGTGAAGAGGAGATAAATTGTTATGATTCAGGGCTTCATCAAAGGAAGATGTTAGAAATGAAAAATAACACCAGCAATGAATTTTAAGTTGAATGGCACGAGCACATTACAGAAATAGAGTTGTACTGCCTTAAATAATAAAACTCATCAGAACCAGCCACAGACTCAGACTTAAAGGATTTTTTATTCTTCCATCATGCACTTTTTTGATTACATGTATATCTGTTATTCATTGAGACTTAATAACCTATTTACAATATGTACTGTAGTTTCATCTGGTTGACTTTTCTCTAACACAAGAGAAGTTTATGTCATGAGTGGACAGATGAGGGCACTAAACCTGTTGAAGAACAAATTTAGCTCATTTGCCCGTTCCAGGCTGCCTCCTGGCTGTCTGTTCCTCTTGAACCCAGTTATTTCCCTTATTCAAGTCCACACATCCCTCACATTGTTCTTCCATAGGCGTTTTTACACTCCCTCGGCTTCCCCCTGCACGTCTTGTATGATCCTCAGTTCTTCTCTTCCCCAGACCTGAGGGCTTTCTTCTTCTTGTTTAGAAGAACTTTCAGCTCAGTGGTGATCCAGAGCTTCTTGTTGGGATAGCAGCATACAGTCCAGGCCGGCAAGGTGGTTTGTTCACAGAATATATATTACGTGAAGCAGTCAGACATGCTGTTGATATCTTCCCCATGTGACTCACAAAGAACATCCAAGTCAGTGGACTTGATGCAGTCTGAGTGCACCTCCTCACAGTCCTTGTGGATTCAGGCTGCCGCTGGACAAGAGGGACATACTTGGGTGTCAGCAAAACCAGGTTATGGAATGATCTGCCGAGTGGGAAGAAGGAAGTGGCACTGTATACATCCAGAGCATTTGCGTACAGAAGGTCCAGTGTTTAACTTTCTCTTGGCAATTGACATACTGATGAGATGGTAAAAGTTTTGTCCAGTGTGACATGATTAAAGTCTCCAGTGATGTCCATAAAAGCACTGGGATGTTGCGTTTGAATCCTTGCAACAGTGGAGTGAATGGTGTCGCCAGCTACAGTCACATCAGCTGATAGAGGAATGTCAGCGACAACGATGGTGGACGTGAACTCCCTTGCAAATAATATGGGCACATTCCAACTGACAGCAGTTGAATTAAAATGCATCAGTATGTCAGGGATTACACCATATTTCACTCACATACAGAGCAATCCCTCCTCCCTTCTTCTTGCCGATAAAATAAGAAGTGACATAATTTAATTTACTACCTCTGTGAAAATCAAACAATGTCAGTCTGTTCAGTCTCACTGGTATATTGTGTTTGGATGCACTGATATTATGTAATAATTAAGAAAACCTGTATTTTCACATTCTGTGGCTTTATTGTTATTTATATATTTGCTGTATTTTCACCTCAAGAGGAACTACCCATGAAAAGTTTCACATGATCAATATTCAGTTTATTAAACTTGTTAACTGTTCTCCAATTTTTAACTTTTATGCTTCTTACCAAAGCATATTCCTTGTATGTGTAAACCTAATTGGCAATAAACCCTGATTTGGATTTTTTAGTATATCTGGGAGCTTTTTTTCTAACACGTAGCTATTCCAACCATGAGAGCTACAGTGAAGGAAATGGTTCCAGCGACGATGATCACTGGAATAACAATAACGCTCACTATAGCTGCACAGAAATCCCCCTGAAATCCAGAGACACAGTGATTGAAAACAGAGGACAGCTCTTTTCACTATAATGTCCAATCTCTTATGATAATTGTCATGCTCAAATCGAAATGTGCAATATTGCCACAATGTTGACAGGATCTCACCTCTTCCTCTTGTTCCACTGTAACAGAAAACAGAAACATATCAATTTAAAAAAATCTATACCATATTTCATGCATGGTACATATTTCATGCATGGTACATGATACTTCAAGACACTCACTCTTGTCAAGTTTCCTCAGTATTGTTTTTCTGAATATGATCGCCCAGACTATGAACAGGAAAATCCACACTGTGTAAGTGATCAACACTATCAGAGGCCAAGACTCCATCCTGGTCTGCCCACAGCGGTCAAGCTTCAAAACACCAACATACAGGATGGCAACTGTGTGTGAAAAAATCAAATCTGTGACAAAAGTAGAAATCTGAGCAATAAACAGGTAATGGCATCTTTCTGAAGAGCTGTGGTGATGTTTAGCCAGTCTCTGTTGCTGCAAAGCAAAAATTGTCATGTTGAGGTAGATTACGTAAGGCAGCAGGTTAGCTGTGCATTAGCATTAAGACTGGATCATCCAGCCATCTTAATTTTCATTAGTTCGAAAATGTTAGCTTGCGATTCTACAGGTGTTTGTGTATTGGAATATTTCTTGCTCTGGAAAAGTAACGAATAAGATATGAAACATGAATTTGTTTCAAAGGTGTTGGTGGATAAAACCATAGACTGTATATATAAATATATTAAAGTGGTATCAATCTTCCCATGTAACTCCTGGCCAGAATGAAGGTAATAACAAAATGTCACAATATTGCCAGATACATTAAAGAACAAGTCTTCTCATGTGGAGCAAAATGAATAAAGTTTAGAATCAGAAGAGTTTCCTTACATGTTAAAATCACCTGGAGTAGAGAACCCACTGTCACAGCGAATTCACACTTCCCTTGTCTTTAACAGAAGAAACAAATAGAGAGTGTTCATGTGAGGATCAAGTCAAACAAGGAAGAAGGAAGTAGAGATGCTGAACTTACTGTACATCACATATTAATGGCAGGGAGGCGATTATGAGCTCTATTAAGTTTATCACTGTCACCACACACATAAGAGCTGCAAGAGTGATCTAAATACAAGCGCGCACACACACACACACACACACACACACACACACAGACACACACACAGAAAAGGTGACACACAGTAAGTAAAAAAAAAACAACCTTACAAGAGTTCAGAAAGAAATGCGGGCGTATAAAAAATATTGTGCACCAGAAATTTTTACTCACATCATAGTGATCCCCAATAAAAATCAAGACCAAGGCTGTTAATTCAAGTACTGCACAAAACACAGTGCTTGATATGTTAAACCACTGCAAGAGAAATAACATTCAACACTTAACACTTGCTATACACACACATGCAAGCACAGGATACTGAGCCTTAATATACCTCTAGCATGTTGCTTTACAATACTTCTTAGATGGGTATTTATGAGAAGAAAAAAAGGCACATCTGCAATTTTGTCAATTCTAAAAATATGCACTACACAACATTTAACTAACTACCTAACATTTACTAAAACATTTATTAGTATTTATGATCGGCATCTTCTTCTGCCAAAATATATTGGTTAGTGGTGTAGTCCGCCATCTTGCCATGTCTGTGATTCAGTCTACGACCCGAAGATGCATGATGAGGAGACTGAGAAGCAGTAACTATGACAACAAAAGCTCCTCAGCTCTCATCTTACCTTATCTATAGCAAGACAAGTGTAGCTGTCGAGGAGGGAGACCATCTGAAGAGAAACACGACGAGAGTGGTTCATGTAATGTTTGATTGGATAATTGTGTATCTATATGAGTTTATAAAGATCATACCATTTTCAATATCTCAACAAAACAGTTGGTGCACATCAACATAATACATCCTTCCTGGGGAAAAAAGAGAAACAATTAGCTTTTTTGGGACAGAAATCTGCTTGTTGCGCTCAATGATAATGCTTTTAAGATTAAGAATTAAACAGCTAATACTTGCCTCACGAGTCAGTGAGTGTTTAGTGCTTGCATTATTATATGTTGTAGTAGTCAGCTTTGTAGTAATTGTTCCAGTATGTGACTCTGTGGTACTTGTGGCGGGACTTGGCTTTGGAGTACTCGACTCAGTACTTGCAAAAGTGACATTCACATCCACTTGGTCCCAGAATGTACTAAAAGACTGAAGAAAAGTGGCTCTAAAACAAACAAACAAATCGAGAAGCTCAGTTTTGTTCTTTGCTTTTTTTGAACTTGGTCGAATGGTACAAATACATTAAAAGTAACCTGAAAGTGACGTCAAGGTCAGCTCCCTGTGCTGTCCAGTTAACCTTTATCAAAGTCTTTCTTTGATTGTTTGCTTGAATGACAGACGAGTCCTGAGGAGAGTTGTAAAAGAAAAGTGTCAGAGAAAGGATCAGGATTTTACACTTTAAGTTCACTTAAATTTCTTAGTTGACATGAAAATGGAAAGCATAGATATTTAATTAATCAGTCCACTGCATTTAGTGCCTTTCCTTACTGCAGAACCGTTGCATGTCATGAGTTGAGTCTCATAAGATTCAAGACTTATAAATTTGCCAACAGGGCGGCCTTCGTCCACCATCCCTCTCTCCCGGGCCTCTAACATAAACCCCAGGAATACTGTGGAGTTGTTGCTTTTAAGAATAACTGAAAAATAAATAGAGGATTAATCCTGGTGAAGGCAGAGGAACAGAAAGTCAAGACAGCGATAGTAATAACCTTTGATGAATCCAGGTACTGACCACTGCCCCAAAGATTCATAGTGATAAACAAGCATCCAGGATAAAGGGGAGCGACAGTCTCTGTACCTGTGATGGGCTCTTCCTTGTTGCCTTGTTCGTAACTTATAACATAGGGTGGTTCAGTGCTCTGAGGAGCAAAACGTTGTCCATCTCTGTCATCATGCATGGGTAACATTGACCCACACGACTGTGGGAAGGGAGCACTTGAAAACCCGAGCACCTTTGTGATGAAGTTGAGGCCGATCAAAATGCACAACCACATCTGCAAAAGAATCGGCCCATAAATCAGTAAATATCATGAATCAAGAGGGAACATCTTTATTTGGCCTTCCTCATTAACATACAGTCAATGAAGATATATTTCCTTAACCTGAAACACTGCCAGAGTTATAATCAGCAGAGAGTATGGTACCCAAAAAAGCATTATTATTCGTTATAATATTATTATTATCACTACTAACAATTATGTTTTATTATTATTCTACATGTTATGTTTTATTGATTCAATTATTCAATTACAATTTTATTTGCATGGCGTCATTAGAAAATACAGTAAGTAGAGGCACTTTACATATAATAAGATCAACATCTGAAAAATGACTCAAACACTATTTATTATTCATTATTGCTTTATTTATCCTGGGAGAAGTCCACTCCTCATGCATTTACAGCCATTATGTGACCACAAATGACTCTCACTCCCTGAATCAGTCAAAATATGAAATGTGTATTTTGGAAAATCTCAATTTAAGAAGGCCTAAAAGTAAATAGCAAACATTTTCCAAGACTAATTCATTCAAATTTAAACATGGAATCCCGGCACAGTGCGACTTCAACAGCAAATGATTAAATACACAATGTAACAAAATGTTTTTTCCTCTTACCTTAAATCAAGTGATTGTACACAACATCCAGTATCATGAGATTTCAAAGCACAACCTTGGACTCTCAGTGACAACAAGGAAGAATTTCTCTTTATTATCTTCAAGGAAAACAAAAGAAACCTCGTAAAGGTCTTTTCTGAGATGAGTCCTCCTGCAGGACGTTTAAATATGTTCTGTTTTATAAAGCAGTGCACCTCACCGGACTGAATGAGGAAGTCAGAAAGGGCGACGATAAAACACTTTTATTGTTTTATCTCTGATCAGAGCTGGTGTGTTGTTTTGCTGGTTTCCCAACAGGAGTTTTCTTATTCATTATTTCACATGAGACTTCGTATCCCGAGTCCTGTTTCAAGAAGCAGATTTCATAGCAGATAATATGAGATGATGGGATTTAGAGTTGTATGCTGAAAATGTATTCTAATATCACAGGAAATCTGTATCTCTGACACAAAGAGAAACTCAGAGTTCACAGTCCAAGTCAACACAATAAAAAATAAGTAGGGGTTCCTACAGTATGCACTGCTGATGGCACCAAACACAAAACGCATTCAACACAGCAATGCCAGTAGAAAGAAAAAACTGTTCCCTAATGAATATTTCAAATCAACTGTCGATTCAAAATAAATTAACAATGACAAAGATACTGCTTCCCGAACATATATTTTGATAGAAGTATAAATGCAGTTTTTCCACTGGAACAGTTCAATGAATCAATGTTTGATCTAATTAAGATCTATTCTACACAACTCACGTATGAATTAACAGAAATGTAAGAATTTAATAGATGAAAATGTGTAAAGACTTTAAACATACCAGCTCATTTGTATCACAACAAGGGTGTGTTAAAAAGCACTTGCATAATATAATTATAATAAGCTTCCTTAAAGGACGCATGACACTTGCCAAAAAAAGTAAACAGTAGGTGAAAACTTATAATTAACATTATTTGCACTGTGAGGATATTATCTATAGTAGCTTCACTGCACTGTGAATGGTATTTTTATCAGCCTGTGAAAGACAAAACTTATTATAGCTACATACAAGCTACATTTTAAGACAAATGTTTAACACAGACACATTTATTAATAAACAGTGAAAATTTTGATTACAGACAAACAGCAACAAATGAGCCAAGTAGATGTGAAGAAATGCACACGTTCTAATGCAGTGATGCAGAAGTAAATGCAACAAAATCTTAGGCTTGATCAGCATCTAGTAAAGTGATCTGTGCGAGATGAGGTTTTGCATTCTGACCTGCGGCTCCTCGACTGGACTTTGCCGACTGAACTTTTGCTGCAGCATTGACTTCAGATGGCTCCTGAACTTCACACCAACGAACGCATAAAAGACAGGGTTGAGGCAGCAGTGGGAGAAAGCAATGAGCCGACACACATGGAACGCATAATCAAGCTGGATGCTGACTTCACAGTCTTCAAACGGTTCGACCAAGTTGTCAGCCAGAGTCCTGAGAAATATCACCACGTTGTACGGCACCCAGCCGATGAAGAATACAGCCACGATGCAGAAGACCAGCTTCACTGCTCTGTTCCTTGTGTGGGATCTCGTTTGTGTGATTTTTACGAGTATTCGGATGTAGCAGAAACCCATCACCACAAAAGCAACCAAGAAAAAAATATTCTGCTGGGAGATAGTGAAGATTTTCCACAGGGTGGATTCGCATTCACAGCCCAGGGAGTGTGTATCCTTGTGGGGGATGGAGATGACGGAGCTGTAGAGCAGGGAGGGCAGGGCTGCTCCAATACTTATAATCCACATTAGGAGAGACAGGGAAATACCGGTGCTGAGTTTTTGCATCTTCAGGTCAGAGAGAGGGTGGACCACCGCCAGGTACCTGTAGATGGTCATGATGGTCAGGAACAGGATGCTGCTGTAGAACCCAGTGAAGAAGACAAAAGTCACGATTTTGCAGAGAATCTCTGAAAATAACCAGCCCCAGATGTGGTAGATTGCCCAGAAGGGGAGGCCAGTGGTGAAGACGAGGTCAGAGATGGCCAGGTTGAGGATGAAGATATTGGTGAGGGACTTGAGGTTCTCGTACAGAGCCAGGATCACAAGGACAAGAATATTTCCTGTGAGGCTCAGGGTGATCACCACAGAGAAGTAAACAGGGATGACGATGGATCCAAATCTGACCACATCGCCCTTTTCACAGACTTCATCCTCATAGTCAGTGTAATTGTACTCAAGCATTACTGGTCAGCTGAAACATAGAAAAAGGAATATAGTACAGATATTAAAGGCGTCATCTTGGATTGCCACGTAATAAATATCAGTTTTGCAGCAAACAAGTGATGGCGTCGATACTTAGGGAGGATGCACTTCAGATATGTTACATTGGAAAATCATATGTTGTAAAGAAAATGTCCTACCTCCTTTCAGATGGGACAAGGATATTGTCGGACGTGAAGCTTTCTTTCTTCTCAAAAGAGAATTCAAAAAGCACCGGCTTTAATAATCTTTTTTGTTCCCCATTCTGACCAAAAACTACATCCGTTTTCAACAAACCAAAAAGGACACGAAACTAGAATGCTCACAGCGAATGAACAGACCTTTTAAGAAACACTTTCCCTGTAATCATTGATATATAAACTACATAAAATACAATGATCAGCTTACAAATAGACTATTTATACAATGTCAGCTACTG